TTCAATAAAACCCAGCCTTGGGAAACTGGAAATTGTTCTTTTGTTCATCGAGCTGCTGATTACATTCTTATTTTAAAGGGGGCGTACTCATTTAGGCTGAGCACTGAACACAAACTCTCATCAGTGTTGAAATGTACTCCTCCACAGTGTTAATATAAAGATCTAGTTGATGCAGATCTAACAAATACAACTAAACTTAGAGAAATGATAACTGTGACAGCATTTGTTGATTAGACCACTCCCAATCTCTATTGCTTTAACAGTTGCAAGCATGAAAATCTCTGTCCACATTCACAATACTGCAGCGATTAAATACTTTGCGTCAGTACTGTTACCAGAAGCAGACACAGTCAGGTCAAGAACAGAAACTTTCCTCTCCCTTCTAGTTCAGCCAGATCACACCTAAAATGCTGCTAAGCATTCTGGGAAACAGGATGTATCCCCCCCCCCCCCCCCCAGCAAGTGCTACAATACAATTTTAATCAAACATTTTTTAGAATAATGCAGTAATCACTACAAGAACAACAAAGAAAAGTGAGTCAATCACTCCGTATGACATGTGTGTGTGTCAACAGGCCTGGGATGCAGCAGGTGCTCAGAATGAAATGAGTTGCCAACGTGGCACTTGTTTAGATGCTTTTGAAAGCCGGACCAAAAGAATGTGAGCGTCTCATTTGGCCACACTAAAGAGTCCTGCAGAGCAGAGTCCCTAAGGTGCTTAAGACGGCTGTTTGGTGTACATGGTCTCTTTTGCAAAGAAATAACTCTGCAACTCTGGGAGTTTGTTGTTGGTTCAGACTACAAGAAGGTTTCAAGGCCTCTTGGAAATTGGCGGGTAAATGAAATAAACTATGTACAGTAGAAATTAACACTGCGTGTCCACAGATTTTAACACTGAATTTCAACTCTGCTGTATGAGCTGGTTTACTCTTCAAATAGTTGTAAATACTCTATAAAACAAGTTTACACTCCGATTTGAACACTCCATTTTTTACTGTGTATCAACACTTCATCCTACATTAAGCCAGAGGCAACCAAGGGACACCATGGACAGGTCTCCAGTCCATCACATGGACACAGAGAGAGAAACAATTATCCACACACTTTTACCTATACAATTTAGTCTCCTGTTAACCTGACAAGCATGTATTTGGTCTGTGGGAGGAAACCGGAGCCCCTGCAGAAATCCAGAAATAACGAGATTAAAAACAATAAATCTGAAATAAAATGTCCCTTTCACCTAAATTAAGACTCAAACAAACAATAAGAAAGTAAAAACATTTTTTCTTTATTTTCTTATATGTATCATATCTCATATTTAATTTTCTTCACGTGTTTTAAAAATTTTCTAATTTCTTTACTAGTTATGCACTTGCATGCTACTTACACTAGGTGGCGCTGTCTACCAACAACGTGAACGCCTTGGACTGACAGCCATGATTCTGCAACACATGGATCTTTGCCTGTCATGATTTCCTTTTGCATGATAAGATATGAGTTTTAGTCATTATATGAATTCATTTTCAAGCTCATATATTTTTTGCAATTTAGACTATTTTACATTTATTATGCACATATGTGCAGGTTGTTCTCTATGGGAACACTGAGTTTAAATGGGTCACCTGAGACACCATTAGGGATCCTGCAGGGATACAAATGCAGCTCTGTTTACGTCTTCACTCAAGTTTGGTTCAAGTGAAAGGTGCATGAGTGAAGATGTTGCCAGGGGAAACGCATGCTGGAGGAAAGATAACATAAGATGATATCCATAAATGAAGAAAGTCGCTTTTGTTTCAAAGTAGCAACACGAGGAAGGAAGATTTAGTGTCAGATGTTGGTAGTTTTAATGGACATTAACTTGGGCTTTATATATGTGTGTGTGTGTGTGTGTATGTGTGTGTGTGTGTGTGTGTGTGTGTGTGTGTGTATGTGTGTCTTTTTTAAAAATTATTCCACCCAAAAAATTGAAATAATTTCCTGTTTAATTAAAATTATTTTGATTTATATGATTTAATTTAAAAAGAATTAAAGATATGTCATAGTAAATTTCCATCCATCCATGTTCGGCCACTTATCTGGGGTCGGTCACAGGGGGCAGCAGCCTGAGCAAAGGGGCCCTGACTGCCGCCTCCCTAGCCACTTGGGCCAGCTCCTCTGGGGGAATCCCAAGGCGTTCCCTGGCCCTCCAGCATGTCCTGGGTCTTCCTTTACGTCTTCTCCCAGTTGGACATGCCCAGAAAACCTCACCAGGGAGGCGTCCAGGAGGCATCAACTAGATGCCCGAGCCACCTCAGCTGGCTCCTCTCGATGCGGAGGAGCAGCACGTCTTCTTCCCTTCCCTTCCCTTCCCTTCCCTTCCCTTCCCTTCCCTTCCCTTCCCTTCCCTTCCCTTCCCTTCCCTTCCCTTCCCTTCCCTTCCCTTCCCTTCCCTTCCCTTCCCTTCCCTTCCCTTCCCTTCCCTTCCATTCCCTTCCCTTCCCTTCCCTTCCCTTCCCTTCCCTTCCCTTCCAGCGCTGGTGGAGCTGACTGCTGATTGCAATGGCTCTCCCTGTTTCCTTTCTATTCCTAGCATTTTAGCTTTCTTTCCTGTTTAGTTGAGTTTTAGCTGAATAATTGATCTTTTTCAATCAATATCCACTGAATGATGTGTGTCTGTGCTCGTGCTAGCACTATTTAGAGTTGGGAGTGATGAAGTGTTCCCTAGGGACAGACATGAAATCCCTACGAAGGTGCTGTGGAAGAGTTGCAGCGGCTACTGAGCTGGGAGGAAACTTCAGGAAAAAAAGAGAAGATTCAGGCCTGTTCTCCCCTCGGTTATCATGGGAAATGTGATATCCCTTTCCAACAAGATGGACGAGTTGGCGACCCCCACGAGACATCAGCAGGAGTACAGAGAGAGCTGTGTCCTTCTGTTTACGGAGACCTAGCTCACGCTGCTATATCCCGGATTTCATTGTGCCATTACACAACTTTCATCTGTAAAAAAATGTTCAGTGAACATGTTTCTTACATGACTCTTGGAAGAAGGAGATGAACAGATAATCATATTGAAAGGTTGTTATATATAACCGAGTCTCCTCATGTTGAATATTTAATAAAAAACTTTTCTTTCCCCGTCTCTCTGAGCTTGGAGAGATCATTAGTTTCACAGCTTCTGGCCTCTTATTTTAGTAGGTCAACCACCAGCACATCTCGCCTGAGCAGGGAGTGTCACAGAGCCTTCCCAGCAGGAAGTGTGTCACGCTGATCTGTTTAATATCCTGACTGTATGAGTGGCTCATCATCAGAATCAGCCCAACTGGCTCCAGAGACGACCCACACCGTCTGAAAATGACCTTGGCACAATCTGAATAACTAGGACCGGCTGGGTGACCTTCTGAAGCAGAGTCCCTCAATGACTCGGTGTGAAAAACGGGTTTTGTGTTAACCAGCAGCAGTTTGGCTCTGAACACGGGTCTCCAGCAGAACCGTGACTGACTCTGACACTTCCTGTGAACCAGATTCACTTTGATCCTATCCCAGCGGTGCTTTCATTGGACAGGATGGTGTCGTGCCACGTCATTTGTCCGACAAGGCGGGCACCTGCCTCATCAATATTATATTGTCCTGTGGGGCTGTGATTTGGAGCATCATACATGCATGGTTTGGCCTAAGTGTTTTAACCTTGACTGTTGCTTCTTCCTGCGTGTTAATATTTGAACACTTTTTCGTGAGCAGACTAAATCCTGCAGCGTTACAATAACCTCGTGCATCATGAGTCACAGCAGTCACTGGCAGCTCAGAGGTTTCAAATTAGTCAATTAGAGCAACAGCAGAGCAAACAAACAAACCATAAATTAGTTTATTAAATGATTATTAAATTAACCTCCTTAAAATCCAGAGTGTCTCACGGTGATGCCTTCTTGCATCAAAATGTTTTATTCTGCTCAATTTAGACCTGTTATCATCACAAAGACTTTATATTGTTTACCTAATTTATTTTAATGATTCTGTTTCAGAAGGAAAGTCTAGGAGGACGTTAAAGAAAAAATAAAAGGAAAAATCTAATGTCCAAAGTTTAAGTGCTGAATGTGACAGATATTTTCTGTCCTTCCTCTACCAGGGTTCTGCAATCTGCGGCTAAGGGGCCACGCATGGCCCTTCTGCAGATAGTTTTGAGTAGTAATAACAGAAAAGAGAATTCAATGTTTTTCTCAACCACAATATAAAAGCTAGTTTTTCCTGACGCCCTGCACAGTTTTGTGCACAAGACAAAAGATGGTTGTTTTTGATCGAAACATAATAAAGGTCTGAGTAAATAATAAGTTGCAATTAAATACAAAAAGGGGCTGTATTTTATTTGTTTGTGCCGATAAATAAACATACAGAAAATACACAAAGGCTGACACAGTTTAGTGTTTACTTTAGCTAAAAAAATAAGATTTTTTTTCCATTTATGCTACATTTGTCTTATTTTTCTCTTAATATAAAATTGTCTTTAATTGTTCATTTCTTACAATTCTTTTAAATCCTAATTCATGGTGTAGTTTTTATGGTAAATGGCCTGCATAGCGCCTTCTGAGGGTTCTACAACCCCCTCAAGGCGCTTCACAACACAGTCAGTCATTCACCCATTCACACGCTGGTGATGATGAGCTACAGTGTAGCCACAGCTGCCCTGGGGCGCACCACAATACACAGGCACCACCAGTCCCTCCACCAGCAGGCAAGGCGAGTTAAGTGTCTTGCCCAAGGACACAACAGCAGCATTCTTTGGTGTGGATCGAACCTTCAACCTTCACATTACTGGACAACCCACTCTACCTACTGAGCTACTTCTGTCCCACTTAATGAGTTGTTTGCTTCACATGAATTAATCTTTAAGTGCATCATTTTGTATAATCTATTTAACTTACATGGAGGAGGTGGGGCTTAAAGCCAATCAGCCAATAGGGGAGCAGTTGTTTTGTTTCAGCTTTGATATTTGTGTGAGGTCTATGTTCAGGCTCTTTAGATATATAGTCAATCAATCAATCAGCCTTTATTTGTATAGCGCTTTCCACCATCCTCAAAGCACTGAACACAACACAAATAAAACATAGAAACAAGACAACAATAAAATTAGGATCAAAAAGAAAAAAATCAGTAATAGCAAACAAATATAAAAACTATTAAAATCAGTTAAAACCAGTCACCAAACAGATTAGGTGAAAGCCAGATGATAAAAATGAGTCTTCAAGCAACAAGTAACCAAAGATGGAGATAGCTTCATGTTAAGAGGTAAGTTGTTCCAGAGGGATGGTGCTAAAACAGTAAAAGCCCTATCCCCACATGTCCGAGACCTGGAGTGAGGAACAGTTTACAGGAAATGATCTGCAGAGCACAATGACCTTGAGGGTACATGTCTTTTTAACAGATTCCCAAGGTATGGAGGGGCACTGCCCTGAAAAAACTGATAAACAAATAAAAGGAGTTCATACTGTGCCCCGTAGGAAAATGGAAGCCAGTGAAGCATTGCCAGCTCAGGACTAGCATTGTGAAGTGAAGATAACTCAGCTTTTATACATTTCAGAAAATACATCTTTTCATTATTTACATCAGGTGATAGTGGGGCACAAACGTATTTAGTCAGCTACCAGTTGTGCAAGTTTTCCCACTTAAAAAGATGAGAAAGGACTGCAATTTTCATCAAATGTATACCTCAACTAGAGGCTAAATGAAAAATAAAAATCCAGAAAATCACATTGTCTGGTTTTTAAAGAATTCATTTGCAAATAATGGTGGGAAAAATAAATCCGTTCTCCTACAATCAAGCTATATTTCTGTCTCTCACAGACCTGTAATGTCTTCTGTAAGAGGGTCCTCTGTCCTCCACTCGTTACCTGTATGGCCACTGTTGGAACTCATCATCACTGTAAAATACACCTGTCCTAAACCGCAGTCACACTCCTAACTCCACTATGGCCAAGACCAAAGAGCTGTCAAAGGACACCAGAAACAAAATTGTAAACCTGCCATATAAAAGCAGCTTGGTGTGAAGAAATCAACTGAGGGAGCAATTATTAGAAATTGGAAAACATACAAGACCACTGATAATCTCCCACGATCAGGGGCTCCACGCAAGATCTTACCTTGTGGGGTCAAAATGATCACAAGACTGGTGAGCTACAATTCCAGAACTACATGGGGGGACCTGGGGAATGACCTGCAGAGAGCTGAGACCAAAGTTACTAGGCTACTATCAGTAACACACTAGACTAGACACCATACGTGTCCCCCTGCTTAAGCCAGGACATGTGCAGTTCCATCTGAAGTTTGCTAGAGAGCATTTGGTGATCCAGAATAGGATTGAGGGAATGTCACATGGTCAGATGAAACCAAAATAAAACTTTTTTTAGGAGGAGAAAGAGTGCTGAGTTGCATCTAAAGAACCCCGTACCAACTGTAAAGCATGGGGGTGGAAACATCATGCTTTGGGGCTGCTTTTATGAAAAGTGACCAGGACGGCTAATCCGTGTAAATGGAAAAATTTACGGGGCCATGTATCGTCAGATTTGGAGTGAAAACCTCCTTCTATCAGCATGGGCATTGGAGATGAAACATGGATGGTCAGCCTGAGGAAGTCTGCAGCCGCAAACGAAACGTAGCGGGAAAACAGGTAACAAAACTGCTCTGTGTTTTAAAAAAGAACTACAGCATGGAATTAGAAATACGACACAGCAAGAACACACCTAAGAAGTTTCTACAAGTGTTTGATAAATGAGGGCCTTAAAGTGGCCTAGCTAGTCTCCAGATCTCAACCCCATAGAAGTCTGTGGAGGGAGTTGAAAGTCCGTGTTGCCCAGTGGCAGCCCCAACATCACTGCTCTAGAGGAGATCTGCATGGAGGAATGGGCCAAAATACCAGCAGCAGTGTGTTAAAACCTTGTGAAGACTTACAGAAAACATTTGACCTCTGTCATTACCAGCAAAGAGTAAATAAAGTATTGAGACAGATTTTTGTTATTAACTAAATACTTTTTTTTCATCATAATTTGCAAAAAATATATATATATTTTAAAATGAGACTATGTGATTTTCTGGCTTTTTCTTCTCATTTATCTCTCCTAGTTGAAAATTACAGGTATAGCTCATCTTTTTAAGTGGAAGAACTTGCACATCATGAGGATGATTAAATACTTTTTTGCCCCACTTTGTCAAATCACTTGGGTTAATTATTTATAAAACATTTCTTTTAATTAATTCTATATGTTGAAATTTAACTTAATGTTAAAAATAATCATATTAAAGGACTCTGGTGTCTCAACTTTGTTTATTTGACATATTACCACCCCTCCGTGTGTTCCTGATGTTAGTTTTATACAAAGTCTATCTACCTTTAATCAAAATAAACGTTACAAATGGCAAGTCAAGACTATACAGCCACAAATGTTTCACAATGAAAAACATGAAACACAAAAACATCCTATTTATTCCAATTACACAAGTGTCTATCCTGTAGTTTAAAGTCTAGCCGATATTTATCTGCCAGTGGTAACAGAAGTCATTTATCTTATTATATAACTCAGAAAGGCTGTTAAAGTCCTAATACATAGAAAACAGATACACAGCCAGACACTTAAACAAAGCAAAACACTTCTCTCTTATATTAGATATCATGAGTGCCAACATTTTGAAACAGAATTCATACATTTACCAAACAAATAGGCGACATAATTTAGCTTATTCAGTAATCTACAGTTCAGAAATAGGATGGGAAAGTATAAAAAATACAAAATCTAAACATGTTAACTTGCATTTCAAGATTACACAAGTGAGATAAATGTACAAAAGAAACTTTTCATATGAAAAAATGGCACTTAAACCTTGTTCCCTGCTACATTCATGTTACAGTCTGTATTATTTTAAATATATAATTCAAAACAAAAAACTGCTGGTGATGAAAACACTCTTGAAAATGTATGAACAGTTTGCGAACCATGCAAACCATGTTTTAGGTTGGATTTGAATGAATAAAGGGAAGCTTTTTTATGAATGAATGAATGAATGAATGAATGAATGAACAGTGAACAAACAAATAAAAAATACAAATAAATAAATAATTTTCATGAAAGAACATAAACAGTAAATTTGTAATATCACTGATCAAATTGAATATACAAGACAAACAAAGTCCTTTGCATTTTGACCACATGGGTCTTGGTCTGAATATAATCATTTTGTGCACCTCGTGCTAAAAAAACAAATACAAACAAAATAAAAAAAAATACAAACAATTAAAACAAACAAAAAGAAGGTTGTGCAAATATCCTTGTAGCATATTTAGCTTTTTATACTTGAATCAAATTTTGTTGAAAAGCCTGATTAGTCACCTTTACTGTGAGGTAGAACAAGTTAGGATCATGCATCTGTGGAACAAGCAACAGGACACCTACTCAACAAGGTATGCTATTCCCTCTGCAATAATACCCATGTTTTTAGTTGCTTGATAGATTGAATGACTGAAACGTCCCATAGTAATCGTAAAAAACAACAACTGTTTTTTTTTACCGGCAGGGCTCTCAGTAGCATGTAGAAGATCCATATGCAGCCATGACAGCTTGGTTCCTCCTCGTCTTGCTGGTCACATGTTGCTTTGGAATGGCATCTTATAGGAGTTATTCACGGTCAACCAGAAATCCTTACACGTTGTTCCTCATTGTCACAGCAACTGATCAATATTTATTGCCACATTAGTAAAAAAAAAAAAAAGATAAACATTTCTGTGCTAAATGTATCTAAAAAAGATTTGAATGAAAGTAATGGAGATATGAAAACATTCTCTTAGTAAAAAACATTTCTACATGTTTTTGTAGCAGTTCCTCATGACGTGCTCCCCTCCAACCCTGTCCATACATACGTAAGGATGAACACTAGTTTGATGTGTCCCATAGGTTTGTGGACTACCAGTAAGAAGTCGTGAGGTTGGTAATTTGATTATCATCAACTATGAAGCCAAAAGTGATCTTATTTAGACGAGATGGAGAGTGGTTGTTGAGCCTCCCTGAATGAATCACATATTTTCTTATCATTTACAGGTTTTAGAGTAAATATGTGCCTTCAGCTTAAGGTGTGCAGCTGTGAAATTAGTCGGTCTAGCCTTTATTCTCACTCTCACCTTGGTTTAAAGGTGTCACATAGCAACTGTGACAGCATGATGATGTGATGATGACAAAAGTCTAACAACACAACTGCTTTACACTTTAATTGTGGTACTGCCAGATTTTAATGTTGCATTAAAAACTGTAATGGTCTCCCGCTCTATTTCCTGCCTCATCTGCCACTATCACAACAGAAATCTCTTGTTTGACCCACAATGTATCCTGGGATAGGGTGGGCCTCAAAGGGTACACCAGACCCATCCTTTAAAATCAGGAAAAGGAGGATGCATTTGTGGGCTGCATGTGGAGGAGCCTTCAAATTTGTACATCCTTCATCACATCACTGTGGCTTGCTCAGCTTTAAAAGGTTGCCTTTGAAGGATGCAGCTCCTGTCAGTGGTCCCTGAACAGCCAGGTGGTCCATGAGGGTTACCACAGGTGAAACTCGAAAAATATGAAAACGGTGCAAGAGTTCATTTATTTCAGTAAAGCTAAAAGGTGAAACTAATATATGAGATAGACTCATTCCATGCAAAGCCCAATTATTCAAGCCTTGATTTGTTTTAACTGTGATGATTATGGCTTACAGCTAATTTAACCCCACATTCAAAATCTCAGACAATTAGAATATTGTGAAAATGTTCATCGAGAGGAGCCAATTGAGGTGATATCTGGTTAGGATGCCCCCTGGACGCCTCCCTGGTGAGGCACGTCCAACCAGGAGAAGACCTGAAGGAAGACCCACGCTGGAGGGAGTATGTCTCACCGCTGGCCAGGGAAGGGGGAAGTCTGGGCCTCCCTGCTTAGGCTGCTGCCCCCGCCACCCAAACCTGGATAAGTGGCTGAAAATGGATGAATGGATGAAAATGTTCAATATTCTAGACTCAAAGTGTCTCACTCTAATCAGCTAATAAATCCAAAACACCTGCAAAAGGTTCCTGAGCCTTTGGATGGTCTCTCAGTCTAAGACGAATTACTGAAATAAATTTACTTTTGCACTAAATTAAAATTTTTGAGGTAAACTTGAACCAAATAGATACATCACATATTAGGAAACCCAATCCCTGGCCAATGTTCAATGCCAGTGATGCTACTGATTCTTGTGTAGCTTGCAAAGATCCATGCCAGGACCCCTCACTCACTCCCTCAATCACCCAGTGTCAAAGATTGAGAGGAAGGGTGCACCCTAAAGGTCAACAGTCCATCATAAGAGCCCAGAGACTCACAGTCTCTTCTAGGGTCAACACAGAACATCAAATTCATCAAATGTGTTTTATTTTGCACTGGAAGAGCAGAGGACCCATTAAACTGAGGCAGAGTTACGTGCCCGTCCCATAACTAGAGGGTGGCAGGTTTGCACCCGCTCAGTCTCTCACAGTTGTTGAACCTTGGGAATAACACCCACCCTCCTTGTCTGTTGAGGAAGGTCGGAGGGACCGGTGGTGCCCAGTATGTATGGTAGCTTCATTGTGGCTAATCACTGCCCGTGTGTGAATATGTGTGTGTATGCATGAATGACTGTTGTGTTGTAAAGCACCTTGGGGGATTCAAACCAGCGACCTTTTAGTTATCATAATTTAAAACGACTTCAGAGATCTTTCTGTTTGCAGGTAAGACAATGATCACTCAGACGAGCTCCACAGGACCCCAGCTCTTCCTTTAAGGCACTTCCCCCCCAGTCTCCATGGTTACATCCATAATCTTCATACACAGTCTGTTCTTTCTCCTTGCATTATGCTGAGCTCTTCATTTTCAGTTAATAAACACCTAATTCTACATAAACACAATTACAATAATTTCCCCCAAAACAGTGTTGGACAGAGGACACAATATGCAACACAAAACTTAATCAGTAACTTTTCTCATTAGATTATTTGCTTTATAACAACAAAATCTACTTTTTTCTAAAACCTTATGTCAGAAATATACAGCAGAATGTTTTCCTAATGCAAATAAATACATAAATACTTTAAAAGCTTGGAACTTAGATTGTTTTTAGCCAGTATCAAGTAAACGCTGATAAATAACTCGTTAGATAACAGTGACTTATCTCATTGAAGTCATTATGGAGCTGAACAAATTTAACCAGAAACATTTTGGTTCTTTCGTCACAGAGTTGAGGAGCTTTGCTTGAAGTCAGTGAAGATGACGGAGGAATACGTGACATCTGGAGGTGTGCACAAAATGGATTCAGACACAGGAGAGTTTGGAAAAAGGCTCGCTGAAGGACCGCAGTCACGGAAAGGAGAGGGAGGCATCAGAGCAACAGAGTCTTCCATCACTAGTTTGGCCTCTACCAGGTCCTCCTCCTCCTGAATCTGGGTGTTGTTGTACATGTATCCTCGGAGAAGACCAAACTGCTCCTCATCATCCTCCTCTAATGGAGACACAAGCTCATCATCAAACGGGTCAAGGTGGACAGGCAAGATGGGTTTCTGCTGGATGAGGTGAGCCTGGTGGTACACTGGCATGCCACCGCTCACAACCTGAGGCATGCTGATCACATCACTGAGCTCAGGGAGGTTGGGTTTTCTCAGCACCACCTTCTCCTGGTGGCGCTCCACAACATCATGTTGACAGATAATGCTGTGTGGTTGTAGAGGCTCAGGGGAATAGAGCTCCACCTCCTCGCTCTCGCCTTTTATCAGCTCGCGAGCGGGTGTTTGCCCGTGGGCCATCATCGGGGGAGAGGCAGGGGAGCTGTAAGCGACTGGATCGCTTTCATCCTCCTCAGCTACATTGTACAAAGTCTTAGTGCTGAGGTCTGAGAACTCCCGGGAAGTATTTTGGTAGGTATTAGTTAAGGGTTTGATGACAGCCATCTGATTGGAACCTGCTTCCTGTCTCTTCACATGCACTGACAGTCTGTGCCACATGTGATCCCCTTTGGGAGGATGTCTTGCACCTGGTTCAGACCATGACACAGACTTTCCATTAGAACTATGAACAAAATAAAGATGGCTGTTACTGCGCAGGAACCCAGAAAGATGAAGACAAATCAAAAATATGTGTTATTGTGTTTGCTTCCTATTAAAATACAGCTTCAGGGTATCACCAGGTTTAGAGACAGAACTTCACTTTTTCATTTCTACAGTTTTACCTATCTTAATAACACCTTAACAATGAAAACAAGGGTGGACCCAGTGTTCCATTTTATGGTGGAATCTCTTTTGGGTTTTTTAACATTTGAAGATTAAATTAGCATAATTTTACAATGTGGTAAAAATACAGATTATTCTTTTCATTAAAGTAATAATAGATAGTTTTTTTAAACCTAAAGCTATAGCTTTAACGTTGATTTCAGTGATTGTTGGGTTAGAAACTTGACCAGTTTCTTATGTGACACCACTCTGAAGCCCTCTGCTGACCAAAAACCACACCAGATAGTTTTATGGAGAAGGTGAGAAGGGTGTCATTGCAGACCCGGAGACCGCAGATTCAGGCCAACTGCAGAGTCAGGCCAACTGCAGAGTCAGGCCGACTGCAGATTCAGGCTTCTACTGTTTTTGAGACAGGACCATCCCCTGGTTTCATAGCAACCCCAGATGGATCAGGAGCGGAGAGTCTCAGTAGTGAACATGGAGCACAGTATTTATTTAACTGTTTGTTTAATGAAACCAGAGTATGTTTTCTAGGCCCATAAACATCTGTCATTTAAAGGTCGCTGTTTAAAATGGGTAGAAGCCTGAATCTGCAGTCGGCCTGAATCTGCAGTCTCCAGGTCTGTAGCTATTTACTACTGAAGTGGGTGTTCAGGGGGCACTCTTAATTTGTTTTACGGCTGTTAGCTGTAATGCTAGCGGTTGGTATTTTTAATTCAACGATTGTCAAATTTGCTTTTTCTGTTGGAATCATGGCGGAGCCTGGAAGTAAAAGTAAGAGAGTGAGGTGATGGAGGTGAAGCAAAGATCTAAAACCAGAGTGAACATCGGTGCAGCCTACATCCATTAGTTTGAAGCAGCTAAACGGGGCAAAAATCAAGGACTGATGATGACCTGGCTTTGTTGCTACTGGACTTATAAGTAATCCTATGTTTTGTCCAAAAGTGCAGGAAACTGCTCTGTGTTCCTTTAAGTCTGACAGATAGAACCCTACAACTGAAATAGGGTGAGCTTTCTTTTTTCCATTACTGGAACTTACACCCTGCAGCATTGTTAAGCCTGTGGACCCTGAACAAACTCTGCATCTGCATGTGTGATGTCATTTACCATCCCATAGCACCCAGGGATGCTTGTTTTAACTTTCCCAGCAGATCAAAGGTTGTAAAGGCTGAGCAAATTGAGTACTGACCCATATTTGTCAGAGTTCACAACAGGTGCTCTTCTAAAAGTAAATACAGTTGGATGTCAAGTTCCCTTTGAGAGGGAATTAAGGTAAAACTAGCATCCCTAAGGTGCTTCAGGAGCAGGACTCAGACTCAGTTAATGAACCCACCTGCCATTTTCCGTGTTCTTCTTCCTCTTGAACATGTTGAGGAGGCTGTTGCTCCGGCAGGCAATTTTTCCGTCTCCGACATGCATGCGAACAGCATCGGAGGTGGTGAACGCGCTGCGTACATTTCGCTCGGGCTTGGCAATGATGATGTACATCTTTGGCGTGAACATACACCCCAAAGCAACAGTCACGCTGAGGCTCACAGAGAAGGATGTGGTGATGATCTTGTAGTTGCTGCCGAAGTAGATGGGCACAAAGGCGAGCCAGATTATACATGTCGTGTACATGGTGAAGGCAATGTACTTGGCTTCGTTGAAATTTGCAGGAACATTGCGGGTCTTGAAGGCGTAGTAGGTGCAGCTCATGATGAGCAGACCATTATAACCTAGGGGAGCTACAACACCAAGGTTGCTGGTGTTGCAGATCAGGAAGACTTCTCTAATGCTGGGGTAAGATTTGATTGGCTCAGGAGGCTCCATTATGATGAGTGTGACTTCCAACGATAGCTGGAGGCTGATGAGTATGGAGGCAATCACCACCTGTGCCCAAGCACTCATGAACCTTGGCTTCCTGGTGCAGATCTTCTTCTTGCTGCCCGCCAGGATGCGGGCAATGCGATTGGTTTTGGTCACCAGAGCCGAATAGCACATCGCAGCTGAGAGTCCAACGAGAAGTCTCTGGAGGTAGCAGGAGGCCACTGTTGGTCGTGCAATAAGTGTGAAAGGGCACAAATATCCCAGGAAGATCCCGGCTAGGATGATGTAGCAGAGCTCCCGGCTGGAGGATTTGACCACAGGCGTGTCACGGTACAATACGAAGACAAAGGCAACAAACGATGTGACCAGGATGCCCAAGCAGGAGAAGACCACCTGGATGATGGACTCTGGATTGCTCCACTCCAGGTAGTGGAGGGGAATTGGCTCACAACCTGACATGGAAGGAAAAAACCATGACACAATATCATAAACATCCCTTTAAGTCAGACTTAATGGATAGATTTTTACAAGCAGCCACATAAGAAGCTTATGTGAATACATTAACAATGAATCTGTAGCATTTGTTAGCTTGAGAAAGTACAGTAAGCCCCAAAGTAGGTTTTTAGCTCAACTATAAATAAATGCTTTTCAACAGAGCCATGGCCAGACTGAGCTGTGGCCAGCAGAGAGCAGAGAGGAAGCATGTGAAGCAGGACAAAGTAAATAACTGCATATTTCATGGATCCAACTAAGATCACCATTCTGCTTCATGCTGAGAATACACTTGGAATACCTGTATAATTCATCACCTTTTGATTTATTTATCGTACAGTGGCAGGATAGTTAGGGCAAGAAAGGAGCACAAGAATATTCCTGGGCCAACCACGACAGTTTGCTGTTGCTCCTGTCTAAACATCCCGTGGATGATTTAAAAAAGCAAACGCATGTGTGTGCTTATCATGTTAAGGAAGTGCCGTGTGTCTGTGAGAGCCACACAAGGCCTCTAAAAGTGGGCCAGAAGAGTGGTGAGTGAAGTGGAGCTCCTGTCGGAGAAAACGGTGAGGATGATGAATGTGCTCTCAGGTGTCATGGGAAAGCAAAGAAAATAGGACAGAACAGGTTTGTGAAATGGTGCCGCAAAAAAAGGATAGTGCAAACTCTCAGAGAGAAATCTTCTCATGTCTGGAAGCATCACGCAACAGGAACACTAAAGTAAGTGGCCGAGGGTGACATATCTGACTTTTCTTGACAGTCTGAACAGCATAAATCTAACCGGGCCACTTTCACATGTAGTCTTCTTGAGTCAGGAACATTTTTCAGGGAGTGCTCGTGTCACAGTTCATCACTGAGGTGTGACAGGTATCACAATTCTGCTGCAGAGGAGGCAGGAAGGAGTGAGATAATACGTGTCATGTGTAGCCTCCATCATGTCTTCTTCTGCACACACGGGTCACTTCAGGGCCATAGGCTGTTCACTGAGGTCTGAAGGTGGTGGCATTTACATTAGAACTCGACCAACTGCACAAAAATATTGAATCTCGGCAAAACCCGCTGTTAAATGTAGTGTGAGTTTTCTCCCTGTCATTTTCCATTATTTTTCCTCATCTCCCACACCTGTTCTACAAGCTGCTCCTCACCCACTGATAACTCCTCCTTGTAGAAACAGTCCTGGGTTTCTGTTGCTACTTGTTTACAACATTGCCTGTCATAATCAAAGGGGACATATGCAAATTCTGTGCTGCCACGTAGATTTCTGCTGCCTCTAATCCAAAAAGGATTAAACCTTTGCATTAGGTATCCGTCAGATTTTGGTTTCATGAATCATTAATGGGCCGTTTGTCCCTTATTGTGATGTCACAACAGGGAAAATGAGACGAGAACCACCCCTCACCTGCCTAAACCCTGATTTATACTTTTCCATCTGCGTCGGTGCGGAGTCACACAACGCCATTATGCGTCAGCGCAAGGGCTCTCCGACGAGCTCACAGAGGGAGACAGAGACATGCCCAAAATTTTAAACATCCGTCGAAAGTGACGGAGAACGTAAGCTTGTGATCCGTCAGGACGCCGCTTCCTGTATATTCGTCACCTGCACTGCTGTAGCTCCGTAAAAAAGTAAACAGATATTTAACAGCAGACCCAGAAAATATTGAAGCAAGCATCTTGAAAAAAGTCAGAAAATATGAACATTTATTCAGCCGTGAGTAAAGGAGTACAAAATACGGAGCAAGCGTGGACGGAAACGATGGAAAATGTGGGTTTAGAGGTGGCGACCGCATGAAGAGGTGAAGGAGAATGAAGGACAAATTTGTCCGTGTTATAAAGTCTCTGAAATATATAAACACATCAGTAAATACACTATCGTGGACCAGATACATGAGTGTTATGATGGCAGGATACCACAGAACAGCGCTACGCCCTCTGTTGTCCTGGCAGGGAATTGCTTTGCAGCACTCCGCTGCCGGAACAGAAGTTCGAATGTGAAAACTTTTCCGACACTCTGTGTGCGTCTCTCCGTTGCAGAGCTCACGGAGAAGTATAAACTAAGCTTTAGCTGGAGGAGCAGCTACTTCCAGTCTCTCTTGAACATCCAGGATCCTCACCTGAACTGGGCGGGTGTGTCAGGACATTGGGTCCTCATGATCAGTCAATCAATCAATCAAACCTTTATTTATAAAGCGCCTTCCGCGACCCTGTCGGGAAGCCCAAGGCACTGAACATGGTGCATGAGAAGATGATAGGCAGGTAATATATGTACAGATTTTATGCACATGATCCATTGGCACCACAACATGCTTTTTGGTCGCCCATGTTATTCAATCTTTACCTTTCTGTTCCTTTCTTCTCCTTTTGTGCCTTTTTTACTTGTCACAAAAAGAAAAAAAAATTCTGCTCTCTCATATATTTCTTTGTTGTGTTTTCTTGGCAAAAAATGGAAAGCCTGTCTACATTGCCTTTAATGGTGCCACATTTGAGGGAGGCACTCGTGAAAACATTCCCTAACAAGGCCAAACCACATCTTTTGCTCTTGCTTGACCTTCTGGTGCCTTCCTCATCAGTAGCACAAGCACCAGCTACAGCTGGATAGAGCTTGTACCATAAGGTGACCAGCATGAGGAGGAGGTACCAGGATGTTGTGGCTGTGTTTGACTCTTCTACATGCTACAGAGGCTCCTTTTGTTAACTAATAAGGTTATGTTTTCTTACCCATTAAAATTACACTACATAGTTAATTCACCAAACTTTATTTTGTATCTTTGTGTAAAAGGGTGAGCAGAAAATCCTGTCTGTTAGCTAAACCGTCCAGTGAGTATGCAATGATAGCAAACTTGCTCCAAGGACAGTGCTTGCTTCTAGAAAATAACAAGAAATGTAGACAAACCCACCTTCTAGTTCATGGTCAGGCCACCAGCCCAGCTCACAGGCCTTACAGGTGAACTCATCCTGGACAAATTCGTTGTCTTTGCAGGCCGTGCAGATCCAGCAGCAGCTCACTTCTCCTTTTCTTATCACCTGATTGGCAAAACATGAACAAGAAAAATGAAAAGCTGCCTTCCTGTAGACACCTTTAAGTACCTTCTTTAAAATAGAAGCAGTCAAGACAAGCATATATCATATTTCATTTCAGGATTATCTAACAATAATTGTGTGGAATTAAAAAATAAAGACCTTGATCTCTCCTTTGGAGCAGGGCTCGCTGCAGACTGAGCGGACCATGTCGCTGCGGTTCATCTGGAACATCTCGTCGTCAATACTCAGTAAGCCCTCGTGCCAGGAGCCGATGTTGATGTAGTCGTAAACACCAGATTCCACGCGCTGAAAGTTCATTATCTCATACCTGATGGGTGGGAGGACAACAGCGTTTAGAAGTCTTTTGATGAATCAGAAAAAACGTGGTGAAAAAGGAACGTACTGTTTGCATTGTGCTAGTTGAGCTTTACGCCGATGTTATCAGTTTATAATGTCAGTCTGATGTTTAGGGTATTTCTGCTGGTAACTAGGTGGTTATAAAAGGTTGTGGTGCCTTATCATCTTTATTCAAACCAATAAAGGAGTTAGGAGTTTAGTAGCATTCGTAGTTGCTGACTGGGCCCTGGTCTCAAACACAAACTTCAGTTTGCTCTTTTATTTATTCTAACAATAAACTTTATATTTGATACTTTATTTCCATTTTTCCCGATTCACATATCCCGAATCCATATCTGTATGCATTATTCCTGCCCATGTCCTCCTCCTCCCATCTTGCTCGTTCCTCTCCTGGCCAGTGGCTCACATAACAGATCCGGTAGAAAACCAAAATAATGTCTACTTATCTTATCTTCCTGGGTTGCCCTACTTGACCTGGTTGTAAACCAGTCTGTAAAAAAACTTCAGAACTTCTGTTTAAGGAAGTGGAATTAAGCCAGAGGAGTGGGGAGCAGAAGACGACAGGATTTTGAGTCTTACTTCCTGATATTTTGACATCTCTCCTGCGATTGGCTGTCAGCAATGTGACTCCACCACTGACTCTGTTCGCTTTGCAACGTTGATGTTTTATCTCCACCAGCGACACACGCCTGAAGGAAGTTCTACCGTGTGGTGGAGTTGCTAATGCTAACGGTTAGCTTCTATTAGCTGAGACGTGTCCTGCTCTCTTCTGGATGCCAAACCAACAACATCCTTTCCCTTGCGAGCCAAGATGGGCGTGTCCATAAATGCTAATTTAACAATGTGACATAGTAAAAACGGTTTCTCAGAGAACTTGGGCTTTAGATAATCATCACCCTGGTTGGTTCCAGTACAAGTTTTAAGCCCCTCCCTCTCAATGTCAGCAGGTACTTACTCAGAAAATAAAAAGCTGAGATGAATTTCTCCAGATGTTGACTCCTTCAAGGGTTTGTACTTTCTAACTGGATGTTTAAATCCTCATTTTTCATTCATGGTAAATTCTGATCGATTATTCAAGGATTGGAACCATCATGATTTTGTGCAGGAGGGGGTCAGGACTAGCTCCAGAATAACACCTTTCTTCTACTTCTGTGGGAGTTTCCCAGTGCATTCCTCTCTTTTAGCTTAATAGAAAAATGCATGAAAATATATATTCTGCAATTTTTAACTCTCCTTGTATTATTTTATATGAATGTGTGATTAAACAATTTGTAATTTTCTCCATATTTGGGGAGGTTTTACGTTTGCGGCTCTCTTTGAAGTTGCTTCCATTTCCAGAAATGTGCCACAAATATTTTCAACCATAGAATGGGACCACCAAATTAAATGTTGTCCTTCAGGCCATAGAGACTCAACATGAAAGCATTCAGTAACATAAAGAAAGTGGAGGAGCTATGTTTACCTTCCAGGTGAGTCTCCATTCTCATCAAACCATATGTCCTCCCCTGACACACCCATGAAGGATGTCTTGAGAAGAAACTCCAACAAGTGGCTCCCGTCCACGGGTTTCATGTCATCACAGAGCCCCAAGTGGCCAGGGCAGAGGTCAGAGTGCATGTCATGCAGCCCGTGGGCCATGGCGTAGATGGCGTTGATGACAAAGCCCATCTTGCTGTCTTGAACATAGTTGTCCTCCAGACTTTCATAACCTGCCCGCAAACATGAAAACCGTAAGGGTTCAAGACAAAAATGTGTAAAATAAAAAAAAGGCCAGCCATAAAGAGAGCTTCACTGATGCAAGCGGTAGCAAGTTTTATGTTGTTTCCTTATTTCAGCTGCACCAAGGAGGTCATCTAGCATGATGTCAGACATTACAAAGGCATGATAGGGTGCTCGCAGATGTAATCATACTTTCTATTAAGGCAGCAAGAATCAAGCATCTTCAGCTTGGTGGGAGACTGCTTTAAAAGAACTGGAAGTCTCAGAAAAAGGCTTCAAAGAAACCCTGTAATCATGGCGAGACTATTCATGAGTCAGGATTCAATTAGAGTCGGTCTCTCATGCTAAAAACCCTTCTGCTGCTGAGACTCGGCGTCCTGCTCAAGCAGGGAAACAAACCAACAAGTCTCTTCTACTTTGAATATTTTCTGATTTGCATCCTTTTCTTTGAGCTTAAAGAATTGATAATGAACAGAAATTATAACACTGTATTTTCTAACACACCCTATCAGTTCAGTGTAATGCAAGCTGGAAGCAAAGCAGGTTTGGTGAGAAGTTAGTTTCAAAAGCTACTCAATGCATTCAACAGTCTGTGCATTTAACAGGAGCCAGAGCTGAAAGTGTTCTTAAATTTCAGTTAGTTGTCAGAAGTGTGCATCTTTCAGCTGATGAGGTCATTTTGTTTTGCACGAATTGCAAACAAGAAGGAATCATTTATAATGCCTCAGCATTTACCTCCATTCTGTAATCTAATGTAAAAAATGAGATGATTTAAATGTCAAAGTGTTCTGAGCTGCTTCACCTCTCAGCAGTTTCATTACTTCAAAGCTAAACAGCAGACTAGAACCAGCTCCCGTGTATAATTAAAATGACTCATTAAATGTTTTTTCTGACAAACTCAGAAAAAAAAACATTTTTTGCTTTGACAAAGAGATCTTTAGTGTCATTGATAAACAGTGCAAAGACACGTGATCACTGGTGAATCTGACCAACAGTCTTTGGATTTGACTTGGTCACAAATTTATAATTTTCTATTATTGCAAAAGTCAGATCATGATTTTGCACGTGTTTGTGTGTTGGTTCGTCTGTTTTTCAGCTAAATATGTCCTGAACTGGAAACCACTGGAGAGATCTAAATGTAACTCTCACAAATTTTCCTAAATTTGACAGAAATATTCAACATTATCTAAAACAAAAATCACTCAGTTAAAATTTGGCGTCCCAGCTGAGAGTCACCCCATAACAGTTACTGAACATGTGCAAGACTCTGCAGTACTGCATGACAATGTGCAAAATGGTTCCAAAAACCCCCAGCTTTCTGTTTTATTTATTTATTTATTTAGTTTACAAAGGATGATCTTGGTTTAAAACGCTGGCACATAATTTGGCAGGTGACTTCATCAGTTAAAAATAAACATTAAAGTAAATGTTCATAATGGAAGGTCCTGAGTGCTTGCTAGCTGTATTATTCTTCGGCTTAATTGTCAACCAGTCTAGAACCTGAAAGCACCTGGCAGATCATCGCTGCCATGCTTGTGTTGCTGTTTGTGTTAAATCAGGTAATAATCACTTCTAAACAACCGCTGGGAAACTGCCTGAGCAAACAAACACATAAACAGTAAATTCAGCTTGGTAGCAGCTGGGTGAACAGCTGGTGATGACCTAGTTTAACAGCTCCTCAGTTTGGAGACGCTCGCTGCACTCACCGAGCCGTGCGAGCTACAGTCATGATGCAGTGATGTTATGATGTCAGCATGCAAGCCGAGGACCTACTGCTGCATGTCAGGATTATTTGGCTGCATGACAAATTGACGTTCTCTGTCTTAAATGAAGAAATCTTCACTGTTTCTGTGCCAGCATGCATCGATCAGCCAGTTATTGGGCTGTTTCATACCACTGACTTAAACAGAGATGGGTGTGAGAGCAAAGGCTCACCCAATTGTTGAGCTCTCATATCCACAAACCAACCAAAAAAAACATCCCAATAGCTTCGTATATCAGAGGTCCACTGAGATTAATCATTAAGATTATCAGTAATGCATAATAATCATCTGACTGCGTTGTAGAACCTTAATGTCAGTCAACCTCTATATTCAAAGTGAGGAGCATCGTGGGTCCATTCAGAGAAATTCACTCACCATCTTGGAGTTCTACACCAAAATAAATATAAAACAATGCATAAATGAGAAATGAAAACAACAAAAATGACAAAATAGCAAATCGTAACTCTGTTCTCTACAAAAAATTCAACTAATAGCTTCTAAAGAAATATGAGAGCTGATGGAAATGAGTACAAAGATTTAGGTTTGTGCATAAATGGAAAAGGATCAGGGCCACTGAAAAGAAAAAAAAAGAAAAGAAATAGAATTATTCTGGCTTTTTCTCAGGATTCTTAGTTAGAATTCTGAAAAAGACAGAATTCTCTTTCTTTTCTTTTCAGTGGCCCTGATCCTCTTCTGTAGTGTATCATAAAAAAAAGACCTAGCAAAAATTGCAAATACTGAAAAGAACAAGTTGTTATAACAGCTGTAAAAAGTGAAATGATCAACAGAAATGTCTTGTCAACAGAAAAAAAAATGTTTTTTGCTGCATGCATGATTTTATATTTACGTTTGTTAAATTATCGTGATTAAAATTGCGTAAAAACAAGAAATGTTCATAACGTTGCATACATAAACCCTTAAACTTGAGATCAAACATGCTTGATGAGCATTGTTTCAGGAGAATAACTAATATTTAAAAATAAAGCACTTCATTTACCTAGATCCTCATCCTCTGTGAAGCCAAGCAACAAACAAATGAACCACATGACAGAGATGTTACTGGACTGATTACCCCCCAGCAGGCTGGTTCATTTTTAAAGTTTTTTCCACTCCATGGGGCTTTTTGGCTTCGTCCTCTAGGCTCTCAACACAACAATTCACCAACACAAGCTGATATGAACACAATAAGCTAGAAATGAGGTTCTGGGCTACCTGTGCAGTTTCGGGCGTAGTTCAGGTTCTCTTGCGGGTGTCCGGGAAGGCGGCACTGGAAGCGATACTGCCAGAACTCTGGGAACCACGGGTTGCGAGTGTTTGTGCTGAGCTTGAGCTTGAGGAAGTAGTTATCGAAGGAAGAGACCTCTTCAGAGTGCAGCTTCACTGTGATGCCGCCCACAGCCTCGTGTTCGTAGCCCTCGACCACCTCGACCCGGTCCGCCCAGCCGTCACTGCAGAGAGGAGCACAGAACGGCTGGAGCTGAGTTGGTCCTCCAGTTTGGGCTGCATGTATCTCAAAAAGTGCTCATAGCCTTGGAAAAAAAGATTTTACTTTCTTTGACATTGAATGTGCTACTACTAGTTTACCCGTTTTATTATAGATTCACTAGGCAAGGCAGCTTTATTTATAAAGAACCTTTCAAACACAGAGGCAACTCAATGTGCTTTACAATTATCAGGACACTAGGATAAATACAACAAAGTTTATCTCACCAAATAGAACATTTACTAAGAAATCACAATGTAACCATAGAAACACTACTTGGTATATATGTTGTGTGTGTGTGTGTGTGTGTGTGTGTGTGTGTGTGTGTGTGTGTGTGTGTGTGTGTGTGTGTGTGTGTGTGTGTGTGTGTGTGTGTGTGTGTGTGTGTGTGTGTGTGTGTGTGCGTGCGTGTGTGTGTCTTCTCGATCCCCAGTGAGTCGTGGTGGATGGCTGCTTATACTGAGCCAGGATCCTCTGGAGGTTTCTTCCTGTTAAAAGGGAGCTTTCCTCTCCACTGTCACTGCATGCTTGCTTAGTATGGAGATTGCTGTAAAGACTCTGACACTAGTCAGTCTTATGAAGGAAACTTTTTTCTGATTGGCTTAATGAACTGACCTGTATTGGAATGTTTACTATGTGAAGTGCCTTGAGACGACTCTTGAAATAAACTTTAAATGAATTGAATTGAAAACAACACAGTTGTGTCGTTTTTTAATGAGTGAAATAATTTTGCTTCCTGTATTCATTATCATGCAAAAATTCTCTTCTGTTTTTTACAAATCACTTTGATGTTTATGAAACACAGAAAATGTTTACTTTTTAAGTAACCACAACATGAAGCATACAACTGTATTACAGTCCAAGCCCAATTTTTCTAAGTAATTCTGAGAGTTTTATTATCAGCTGTTTCTGATTTACTAGCTTTGCATCTAACTAGTTGGATGTAATGTTTCTGTGTTTTGATCTCTGAATCTGTCTGCTGCAGTCAGACCAGATGGGCTGACATCAGTGTGCACGCAGACACACGTCCCTTTTTGTCTCCCCTTCCAGCCTCTCTGCTGAGGACCGTGTAGTTCTCGCTGTACTTGCTGAGAGGAGGCAAATGAAGCCCCCGAGTCCACCAACACAATCATAAGTTCAGTGAGAATTCACAGATCTGTAGAGTAGCTGCCCCAGAGAGAAACACGTTTCCACCCGACTCAAACTCTGAGCCTCCCAGAGACTCTGCACTGGTCATGATCTTCAGTTACTGCATGTGGGTTTTATTTAGTCATCAAAGCTCATTGACCAGTCATTAGCATTCGGCTGAAAAAACTAATTTGCACCTTCACTGATCTCCTTATAAGTAACTTTTCAACACCCTCTACAGATGTGGGAGGAGCTTTGAGCAGGGTCTTCTCACATGTTCTGGTGTTCTAGCGTGTTCCTTGCTAGATGTGGGTCACAATGATACTAAGTAACACAAAGCTCTAGCATCACAATGTTTTCCAGTAATGAGTAATCTAACATGTAACTGATTCCTAAATGGTATCAGATTAAAGTTACTGATGCAGGTCACCATGAATGACTGTTTTCTTCTGGCATGTCGGTGAGCGGCGCCCCCTATGCAACAAGTCATGCTTTCTCTGTGAGGACAGCACGTGTACCAAGCAGCAGCAACACAATGAGATGAGTGTTTGTTAGCTGGAAATATGACAGTATTCTGAGTTTGCATCAGCCAAAGATGACCAAAACACTACAAGTCGCAGCACGGCACCCAGCCTTGTGCAAACACAACAAATGTCTCTAACTAAACTCCATCAAGGGCTGGTAAAGCTGTCCAACAATATAGAAGACATCCTTTATGTCTCTCCACTTGCCTTGCTTTGCAAATCAAATCCCTTCCATACCCATCACTGGTCTGCGGCGCGTGCGCCAGGCAGCATCCACACTGGATAATTCCTTCTGGGTGTTTAACCCGTTTGTTTAAAACTTCAAAGGGAGTAAATCAGTGTGAGATGCTGCTAATCTGTGGCTCAAGTGGGTTGTTAAGTTAAAGATGCTGTAAGACTTTCTGGTGAGTGTGACTGAAACAATTTCAGGTCAGTGTACCAAGTCAGGGTTGTAGAAGTAGAGGCCAGCAGCTTGTTCAGTTTGGCTAGCACTTCAGGACTGAGCTGACAATGACCGTCCACTGTGACAGTACCAACAGTCCCGGGCCATCTGCTTCTCAGCATCACACTACCCCCGGTCCAGCACCCCGAGTGCCAACAACCTACAGCTCTGACGTCAACACACATCTACTGTACGCACTTGAGATCGCACATTCATGAATCATTTCACTTAGGAGAGAGAAGTTTTTTTTTTTTCACTGGAAGGAGTCAGTGAAAAATACTAGAAAATATTCATGTAAAAGATTTTTATGTTTCCGTTGGGAAGAAAAGGCCAAAGCAGAGCGGGAGCCAAACAAAGGAACGTAAACTTTTATCTTTGTCCAAAGCAAAAGGAGCTGCGCTTCAGAGCCGATTAAAGACTTTTTGGCCACTTGGAGCGTGTGGGATCGGTGGTGTGAGATCTCTTTCATCCTCCACAGAACAGAAGATGGATGGCTGATGACCAACACCTCCGGGTTTCTCAGTTGGCCCGCTGCACAAGCCTGCATGAGCTCCCTTACTGCACTGCTCTAAAAAAACGTTTCTGTCTTTTTCTGTGGTCTCCTTGACCCAGAAAACACACTACTTTGGCAAAAACTCTCATCATCGTCTGTGGAAACTTCAGCAGCAGTGCAAAATTAAAACTTAAGGGGTGAGAGAAAGTTTGGGATTCTTATTTTTAGATGCATGCACTCGATTGGCTGGGTTGACTTTTTCCAGGCAAAAATGGAGCCACAATGAAACATCCCAGATAAACTACCCATTTCTAGCTTTAATCATCGCCTCATCTCTGCTGCTGGAGCGACTGCTAACAGGACCAGCGGCAAATGACAATCTTCCACAAAGAGAGAATTTATGGAGTATTAGCTTTGATGTTCCCTATTCCACTCTCCCCAGCCTGTGCTGGAGGTGCTATGCCACATTAGCCCATCCTGCCTGTGATCTGACAGGGAGCGGGAGAGCTTGCCGAGTGGTTGCATTATTCATCACTGAGCCTGACTCAAAGCATCTTCTGCTTTCAGAGGAACTCTTTTCCCGTTAGGGGCAGGAGGAATTTCTCCAAACCTTTGTGAGACACAAGGAACTCAACGTCCAAATCTCTGAATGCTGTCCTTTTTCAGAATTTGCTTTAGGAGTTTAAAATGTAATAAAACTCAGTGATGAGCCAGGGTAACAAACTGCATCTTGGCAAAGGGGTTAATAATCCTGAAGGCACCAACGGCTGATTCAGCGGTGCTATTTTTATCTTTTTTCTCATTTTCTTCCCATTATTTGGGTGCTGACTGAGTTTCACAGCCTTTAAAATCCCACAGGAACCCCCTGTTGTTAAAAAAAAAGAAATCAGCAGCAAGGGAGACAGATATTTTGGTTCAGAAATTTTTTCCATCCATCTGACAAACCTGGAAGCCCCGTGGGGAGAACATTCTCTAACGAACCTGCCAATTAGAAGGAACTCTCCGGCTACTCCGAGCCGTCTCATGGCCATGAGCAGCCCGCGGACTGTCATGCCTTCACAGAAGCAGACAACAACCCTGGCTTTGGGAAGACGCTCCCGCAGCTTCCTGAGCAGCCTGTCGAAGTGCTTCTCGCCGGCGTTGCTGTAGATCTTGTCAGAATGAGCGATGCAGAGGCCTTCCTGTGAGGCGATCTCCTTAAACACTTCCATCCCACTCTCGCCGTAGTTACCTGAGGAAGACAAGAGGAACTGTCATGTGAGGCTCATTGATGGAAGTAAAGGATTAATCAACGAGCTCTCGCTCATAACATCACTCTGCAGAGCTGTGATTGTGCTGCTGGACATAAAAACTCTTCCTCTCAGCCTGTAAGATTGTCATTTTGTCCCCAGACTTGTAGCAGTGAAACTGGAGCAGTCCTCGAGGACAAAAGAGACAAGTCTCTTTCTTCTGCTCGTCTGTTCTGACATCCAAAGTAATGCAGACACAGCAACGTGCATGGTACTCAGTTAAAAGACTTTATTGGAATCAAACTGCCATAAAAATCTTCTACTGCAGGACATCTCGGTGTCAAACAGAAGCTGAAAAGTGGCTGATAATGTTTTTGCCTGTGTGTATGTGCTTGTGTGTCTGTTAGTAAAGACGGTAGTAATTCAACTTTTAAAAAGTAATAATTAAATGTACATCTGCAGCTGGTTGTCATTTGGCCTCAGTCCAATTAAAGATGGTCGCCACAACTAATCAGCCTCAGTGGTTTACTAAAAAGGACAACACCTCAGTCTGTTTTACAGATATCAAACTCTAGTTTGGTGTATTAGGTGCTGAGAGTTCGTCAGTGCCAACAGGTCTCACCAGATTTTGCAAAGGGCCCAAAGTTTTTAGCTAAGTTTGGTGTCACTTTTCAGGACAGGGACAAAAATGTGCTCTTGCCTGGTTGGTCTTACAGTCAAAGTGTTTATGTTTATGTATTTGGCAGATGCATACAGCTGCTTAAAATATGACTAAACCCAGTATATACAACATAAGATGGTTAAAGGTTAAAGGTGCATGAAGTAAGAGTGACATCCTGTGGTCAAATCTGGGGACTGCGGTCCATGTTTGAAAACAAATAAGAAAGATAAAAAGAAAGAAAACCATCTTTTAAATAGCACCTCTTAAGATAAAAATCACGGGGTGCTTTACAAGAACATGAATTTAAAATATAAGAAAGATTTTTTAAATGATTTAAAATATCAAAAATCTGGAAAAATTAAAAAACTGTGATAAAACAAATGTAAGAAAAGGGAAAATGAACAAGAAAGAGGAAATCAGTGGATCCTGGGATTGGCGGAACTGGTAGGAAGAGCAGAATAAGGAGAGGATGGTGATGAAGGTCGCACCAATGCCAGCATGAACAGGTGAGTTTTCAGTTGCTTTTTAAAGAAGACCACTGAGTCCACTGATCTCAGGCTCAAGGAGAGACAGTTCCAGAGTTTCGGGGCCACAGCAGCAAATGATCTCCCACCTGTTCTGTGAGTTTCATGGCTGTGCAGTTATGGGTCAGTGGCAGAAGATTCTAGATGGCGCGTAAAGATGACTCATATACAAGGAGATGAACACATTTCACTGTAATATTGAGTTGTTGGTAATTGAAAAAAGTAGCTTGAGACCATTTTAGATCTGACTATTTGCTTCTAAATCACCGTTAGCATTGTTAGCTCAGTGTTAGCCTGTAGCCGTCTTTATCCAATATTAGAGTAAAACAAACAGATGTCGTGGCTTCTTAGGGGTACTAGAAATAACTTCTGGGCTGCTCTGTTAATTGGTTAACATCCTGTCCACAACTCTGAAGCATTTTGCTGGCAACTGTCCAATTACAAATGCCTTCACCGCAGCGTTAGCTGGTGCAGATTTAGCACCCCCCACATAAACAAAGACTACATCCCTCTTTGGCTTTTTTGAAAGGTAAAACTCTGACTAAGAAAGTACCGTAATCTGCTTCACTGTAACCTTCCATCCAACATGACTGAAACATTAGAGTGTTTTGGGATTATTCCACTTAGAAAAACTTCATAATAAAAAAAGCTCAAAGATGGAGATGGCTGTTTCTGAACCAACGTCTAGTGATGAGGCAGGAAAACATTAAACATTGAATTAACAACTGGGATGTCATTCAAAGTGGATAAACTCAGATTAGTTATCAACCCTCTTAACCAGTTCTAGAAGAAGCCCAACACTGCTTGATAAACTGGTCCATAGAACGCCATCAGAATAGAATGTGGTTGTTGGTGTGACCGTCCTTGTGGAAAGCATGGAAGCTGAAACTCTTGCTGGATTATAATATTAAAATAATCTACACAACTAATAAAAGCTTTTGAATCATTGTAAAATAAAATGCCTTGGATCGAATATTTGGTTTGTCATTGACCCATCCAATAAGCACAACAAACAGATCCACGAAGAAAACAGATCAAGGATTTTTATTTTCTAAAATATACCTATGCATTATTTTAAAATACAAAAATTGTTCTTGTGTTGACATTTTCCTCAAAAATGACCAGCTTGTGGGAGATTTCGCATTTTTTCGTTTATTTTTTGAATATTTACACTCACTATTTTATTGATTGTACTGATCTAATCATAAAAATGATCTAATGTGTATAGGTATGGACATATCTTTCAAATTCACCAAAGATATCACATATTGCATTGCAATGTGAAAAATATGGTTTCTTCTTCTTCAATAAAAATTACAAAAAGGCAGTCCCACATCCATAAATAACTGAAAAGTAGCAATCAGAGATGAAAATGTTCTGAGTTATTTTCTCCTAATAACCTGGTAACCATTTGCATTCGAACACCTAAAGTAGCCTGATGCTCTCAGAACACAGTTCCTGCAGAGTAATGAGGGTCTAAGAGACGATTCTGGGCCGCCGTGAACAAAAACTGAGAAAAAGTTCAAGATGCAAAGGTGACATTGTTTTGGAAAAAGAAAAGCTGGAGGTGAAACGTAGATTTGCTCTACAACGTGTAAGAAATTGTCACTACTGCAAAATTCATGGAGAGCCTCATAAAGAGGTGCAAGCTGAACGGTTCTGTCGTGACCTACAGAGTCTTCTGACCTGGAAATAACTGAAAGTGTCATCTCATAAGAGCAGAACGTGTAACAGAACTAAAACCCCTCAACAGGAAAAAAAACTGTCAAATTGGCTTGAATAGGAAATGAAATGTTGGACAGGATATGAAATAAAGGTGACTTTAAAACAAACCACAGATATTTAAAGGTTTGTATAAAAATACATTTTCTATGTGATGTGGAATGGTGACTTCTACAAAAATAACTATTTTATAAAAGCAGAGTATTGACACCCAGATCTGCCGTCCCCTAGACTCACCTTGTTTGGAGCAAGTTGATGACTGGATGCAACAAAGACAATACTGAAGTTATGGTCTTCATAAATAAGAAAGATAGGATAGAAGTTAGGGTGGCACAGCGGTGCAGTCGTTAGAGCTGTTGCCTTGCAGCAAGAAGGTCCTGGGTTTGAATTCTGACCTGGGGTCTTCCTGCATGGAGTTTGCATGTTCTACCTGTGCATGTGTGGGCTCTCTCCGGGTACTCTGGCTTCCTCCCACAGTCCAAAAATCTCTCAGGTTGATGGCTTCTCTAAATTGCCCTTAGGTGTGAATGTCTGCATGCATGGTTGTTTGTTGTGTGTGTCTCTGTGTTGGCCTGCGATAGACTGGCAACCTTTCCAGGATGTAACCCAGCTGCTTTGCTTGAAGACTGTTGGAGATAGGCACAAGTCCCCTGCAACCTTGCGTGGATAACTGGGCATCGATGGATGGATGGAGGTTATTGCTCAACGTTGCTCCAGAGGAATAAAGACCGACTCAGGTAAGAAATCTTGGTGTTACAATTGATTCCAACTTGAGCTTCACTGGCCACATTAAGGCTATGACTAGATCACCGTTTTTATCATCTGACCTCATATCCACATAAGATCTAGAGAAACTCATTCATGCTTTCATCACTAGCAGGCTGGACTATTGCAATGGTCTTTTGGCTGGTCTGCCCAAAAAAGCTGTGAAGCAACCGCAGCTCATTCAGAATACTGCTGCTAGAGTCCTAACAAGAACCAGGAGAACCGAGCACATCACTCCTGTTCTTAAATCGCTACACTGGTTACCAGTAAACTATAGAATCAACTTTAAAGTGCTTCTACTAGTTTATAATTCACTCAGTGTCATAGGGACCAGAATGCATGTGAGATCTCCTTCCTGTATACACCCAATAAGGCTCTGAGATCCTCAGGAAACAGTCAGCTGCTTTGAGCTTCTATGCTGCACACAGATGGAATCAGCTTCCTCAGGACCTCAAATGTGCCCCAACTCTTAGTGACTTTTAAATCAAAATAGAAAACGTTCATGTATTCATCAGCCTTTGAATGATGCCTTCTTATGCAGCACCTTCTGCACTGTAACTGCTCAGTCTACAACTTTGCCATATTATTTTATTTTTATATGTAATTGTTCTTTGTGTATTTTTAAATTTGATTTTAAAATCAGAAGTTTTAAGTTATCACATTGATTTTCTTATTTTATGTGCTTGCTCCTGGAAAGCACATTGAATATCTTCTGTGTATCAAATGTGCTATTTAAATGAAGCTGACTTGCCTAATACTGAGTATAAATGATGCCTTACCCTCTGTGTGAACTGCAGACACATAGGTCCAGTTGTATCTCTTGACAATGTCCAGCAGAGCTCTGGCTTGAAGAGTGTCTGAGGGTACCACTCTGAGGAAGTACTTGAACAAGGTCTTGTCACTCAGGTCGATGCTGGTGGCGGAATAAGCAATCTGTGGGATGTTGAACAGCTGGAGAAGATTTTGCACTTGAATTGCAACTGAGCTTGAGCCAGGTCCGATGACTCCTACAATGGGCTTCTTGGTTGATGGCGGCTGACTGGAGGGCACCCCTTCGATGCACCACTTAGATCCCTCAGAGTCATCCCGGATGGAGATGAGAGAGTCTCGTATGAACTCGATGCTCTGCTCCAGAGCAACCGAGGAATGCCAGCAGGAGTCCCGGATCTCACAGCCGAGGGTGATGTTAGGTAAGAGGTTTGGGTCTGAGTTAATTCGATCCAGGGTGTGGAACATGGCCTCCACCCGCTGGATGCCATACTGCTCACGGACCTCTCCACATTTCCTCTCTGCCACCTTCTCAGCTGATGGCTGGTGGTGTACGGAAAACAGCGCACCAATTATAATGTCCCCATCCATTCTGGCCACCAGGCGAGAGGCAGAACTTGGGACGACTGACCTCTCATACTTCCCTTTGGACAAAACAAATGCCTCAAACAGTAAAACGGGCAAATACAAAATGCTCACTGCAGTCAGGCAGAACATGTTTGACATTATACCGAAGGTGATGAATAAAGATTCATGTCTCTTCAGCCAAATTAGAGACCCATCAGTCCTGTATGTATAGATCAGAAATGTCACCAATCTGCTTCTTCATGATTTCATCCTGTATGTGAGACAATAAGCAGTATTAGTTGAGATATTTTACAGTGTAGCTCTAAACAGACAACAGGCAGATTTTGAGGACTAAAGTTTTCTAAAACTGGGACATCTTTAGATTTCAGCACCACGGACAGCAGCTCCTACAAATGAGCAATGAACATATTTTGCCGTCTTTTTTCCTCAACTTTTACCAGGAAAGCATCACATAAGAGACACATGCACACTGCCAGAATGGCTTTTCATCATCAACTGTACACATTATTCATGCAATCCTGTGGTGATGCTTAACCAACAAAATCAGGCTAAAAATTCCAGCATTTTTAAGTGTCTGCATGTATGACTTTACTCACCTGCACCACGCAGCTCAGAAAACAGTGGATCCGCTGTCTCGTGTGTTTCAGACAGACTGGACTCCAGCTCTTCCATCGAGAAAACACGGTGTCGTTCTCCCTCCCGCTCCCTAGCTGCACACCTCTTCTCTTCCTCACTGCATCCTAAAAGCGGGTCACACTCACTGCAGTGTCCCTGATTTCAGTCCTCAGTTTATAAATGCCGGTGAGACAATGACGCAGGAAAAGTGACATTTAAATAACGAAATGTTCAGGTGCACACTGAAAAAACACAAAAAATGAATGAAAATGAACGAAAAGAGATGGTGTAACCTGATACGCCTGCATAGCTGTGCTGAATGAATGTGAGGTGTGAAGGTGTTCACGCGCCATGGGGACAACTTACTATAAAAGGAGTCGTCAAACTTCACGTGAATCATCCCCTCTGCGTCGTGGAGATGATGCAGTTCACTGCTGCAACAGAAAAAAAGGTTCACTCTCTACTGACATCATGTGGCCAGCATCCGGTACAACGACTGCATCTTCAAATGTAAAGCTACAAAAATTAAATATGATAACTATATATATATATATATATATATATATATATATATATATATATATATATATATATATATATATATATATATATGGCCACAAAATAGCAGTTCCCAAAACTCACAATTATCAGCTGTAATTAGAGAAATTATAAAACTTTCATGAAGTTTGATTTGGCATTGCCACGTTTTCTTCAACAAACACTAAAGTGCAATTACACATTTTGTTGTAAAATACTTATATTAATACTTATTTTCCATAACAACAAAAAAGAAGAGGCGAGTTTCTAGGTTTTCACGAAATGTGTAGTTTTATTGTGTACAACATGTCTACATCCAGTTACGTCATTTCCTGTATGAAAAAATGGCGACCATCTACTTTGCTGTGGACAATTGAACTGTTTTGGTGCTTTCAGGATCCGATTTGCTTCATTATGAAACAACTCCTGATTCCGTGATAACAACCGGATCGGTTCAAACGAGGCTCGAAAAGTAAACACGTTTTTAAAATGACTTATCTTGTTTAGAAAACGTTAAAATAACGTAGCACTGTTTATGCTGCACCAAGGCTCAATACTTGGTGCTAAAGACTGAACAGAACCACAGAAGTTTTGTTAAAGGGCAAGTAACACCTGTCCCAGAGTCTTACTCCACCCACGTTTCCAGTTATATTTATCTTTTTCCAGAAAAAGATAATTTAGAAAAATGAAAAGCAGGCTAGCTGCTTGCTAGCATATGTAAACATTAGCAGCGGCAGTTTTCCAAACGTTTGTCACGTTAACTTTATCATTTGATAGTGATGATATTAGCTAGTACTAACAGTAATTATACCTTGTCTATTTGAGCTGATGCTTTCTTTTTCATATCTACGGCCAGTCTGCTCATTCTCAGACATTTTCATCCACACAACAGCCACCCACTGGACATGTTCCCCCTTTTTGGACCAGTCTCTGTAAACTAGAGGTGGTTGTGGCTAAAATTTCTAAAATACAGATCCTGTCTGGCCTCAATAAATATGACACATTCGAAGTCACCTAAATCTCATTTCTTGATTTGAATCCTTAATTAGCTGGCACGTGATTGGATGCTTTTAAAAACAGATACCTAATAAAGTTGATAGTGAGTGTGTGTTCTAAGTCACATTTGGGATATTTTAATGGGAATATTGTCCACTTGTTAAAATGGCAAAACTAGCATAATTTTGGAAGATTGTTATTATAAGTAATAATTACTTGAAGCTTTTTTTTATTGTTCTCGTTTTAGTTCGTCACCATGAGCAGCCGAAGAAAGAGGGCCCCACCCGTGAGGGTGGATGAAGATGCCAAGAGACAGTTGGAGTGGAACATGTTTGAGGATCGCAAGAATGAGGAGATCCAGGAAGAGGACCAGATGCCATCCTGTTCCATTCTTTCAGTTGACACCACCCCGGGCAGCTCTTTTCTCTCAGTTGTTGAAGATGTGACGGAGGCTCCCTGTTCCCGATCTGTTCGGTTTTCAGAAGAGTTTCCCAGCACCGCCTCAGACAGCACCTCTGCCTTGCCCTCGCTGGCACTGTCCGTGCTGCCAGCTTTGAAGCTGGCTCACATCTGGAAAGCCCTCATCGGGGAGTTCATCCTTCGACCGGTTTGGCTATCATCTGACTATGAGTGGAAGGTTTTTACAGTTCACAGGAAAGGTGAGCAGCTCTACCTCAGTTACAGCAGCTGTGATGAGAGCTCAGATCTGCAGTGGAGGCCGGACGACGACAGCTGTACAGCCGAGTGTAACCTCAGTCGGATTCTGCTGGAAGAACTCGACTGGCTGCAGAAGAGGAGGGTGGTGCAGCTCTGCCATCAGACCAAAGATCAGGAAGTCAAGGTGTGTCTTACTTTGATAGAATGTTACTTCATTTGTGATACAACGTAATTAGCATTTTACCACATTAAAGCATTGACGTTTCAAAATGGGCAAATTTGTGCCCTGGATCCCTTTTTTAAACTCATCTTTTATTCAAAACAAGGCGATATTTAAAGGTCTGCTTAATATTTTATTCTTAATGAACAAATTATCATCGCTGTGCTTGGCAGGTGGGAATTTACCTGCTGGAAACTGGACTCGGAAAGCCGGATTTCCTCAGTGAGGGGAATGCTCGTCTGAAGAAAGCAAATCAGCTGATGCAGAAATTAATGGAATATTTCTACGATTTCATCATTCCTGGTGGGTCTGTGGGTCTACTGGGTAATATTATGATCCATTTAGAGTTATTGCAGCGAGATAAAAACAACACTTTCTTTGTAGAAGTTGTAGAGAATGAAGAGGAAGAGAGCGACACCGACCTGGAGAGACAGAATGTGGAGGAACTTTATGATCACGTGAGACTCGTGCACCAGAAGGAGAACCAGGATGTGACCTATGATGTCCAGCACAAGGCTCTCATTCCATTTCTCAGACGGTATCAGTGCCAGGCGGTCAACTGGATGCTGAGGAGAGAGAAATACAGGAACACGGCTCCTAAAGGTATTCCCTCCAGGCCTTTGAAGATGGAGAACTTTATGTGTGTTTTTGAGAATACAGAGATCATTTAAGCAAAGCTTCATATTGTACAACTCTGTCTTTACTTTTTGTTTTATAGAACAGTTTTTGCATTTCCTCTGGCGAGAGTTAATTACTCTGTGTGGCAAGAAGCTGTTTTACAATCCTTTCACTGGCTGGTAAGAGAAAAAGCAATGTTTTGTGTTAAATAATCACTTCATAGACACTTTTACAAACATCCTAGAATAACGAAACTTATTCAGATCTGTCCAGGGGCCATTTAAATCCACCGTAGTCATGGTCCGTAGTAAAAACAGTCCAGGGTACATTATTGATTGCTGTTTGATTTTAACTTTTCAATTGACAATCGATTTGGAACAAAACAGAAAATCTACTACAGATGTGTTTATTATTATGTAACATGAACAAACTGTTACCAAGCGGTGGAAGCCTTTCACGTTTCCATCTTTTTCTCCTAAAATCACAATTCTGTAGTAAGAGATCTAACATTCACCTAAATATAAGTCTGTTCTGTTTTTCCACAAAACAAACGGTCCTAAAGTTACAAACATTAATGATTAAAATAACCAGATAAGTTAGAATTATTTAGAACTTACGTCTGGACGTTACGATGGGTTACTTCTTTGTTGGGTCTCTACCGCTCACTCCCCTTGCACCATTAACTGTTCGGTTTTCTTTCTGGTCCAGTTTAATTCGAGAGTTTCCTCTGGCTGGTGTCGACTGGCCTGGGGGGATTCTGGCTGACGAGATGGGGCTCGGTAAGACTGTGGAGGTTTTGGCGCTCATCTTGTTTCACACTCGTCAGGACCTGCAGCAGGATGCCTTCACGCTGCCTGTGGTGAGGAGTGTTTGATTTATTTTCTTGGATTTTCTTCTATTTAAAAAAAAAAGAAACGTAAAATGCGATTCTGTTGTTTTCTTCTAATCTTTTGCTTCTTCAGGGAAAATCTGTGAATTATTTTGTTCCTCCTCGCCCGCTGGAAAGAGAGAAAGCCATACGCTGCAAGTCTGAAGCTCAGCCGAAGATGAAAATATCCCACCCAAGTATGTCTCCTTGAAGTCCTCTCAGACAGGCGATCAGTAAAGTAGTTTCACTTTTTACATGTGAGTCTCCCTGCAGCTGTGCGCGTCATGCTACTTAATGCAATAAAGGAGATGCGATCTGGCAAAGGCGCCTCAGTCAACGCCGTATTCACCTATATCCGAGCTACTTATGGCTTCGACCTTCTGAAGAACCGCAATCACATCAAGAAGACGCTGGCGAAGCTCATAGATGAGGGCGTGGTTCAGAGGGTCAAAGGTCGAGGCTTGGCCGGGTCATTCAAGCTGGGAAAGAACTTCAAAGAAACCAAGAAAACTTTAGCAGGCGCGACCAAGTCTGTAAGGGTAGAGGACTTATTCCACACATGCTTTTGATCTGATGTTTTTATTTTGGACTTAGCTTTGTTCTTTTCTTGTTTTGTTGTTGTTGTTAGAGTTTTAAAAATGCAGAGAGCACACCCAGGAAAACGTTTCAGAGACGAGCCAAGGAGAAGGCTGAAGCAGCTCTGCAGAGCTCTCTCTCAGAGGACCAGAAGGATCTAAGCTCTGAAGCGGACTGTCTTGAAGCAGAAGGACGGGACGAGTGTCTGAGCGGGAAAACTAATCAACCAGAAGATGTGCGGGAGACCTCCTCAGCAACCTTCCAGATGTCTCAGGATGACTCTGACATTCTGGATGTGGCCAGAGTCGACGGTTTACCTGCAGAAAGAGAAGCTTCTCAGACTGAATCACGTGAGGGGACAGAAACTCCAACCAGAGCTTCTCTAGCTCCGTTCCACACCCCCGACTACCGCTTTGAGTGTATTTGTGGAGAGTTGGGCATCATTGACTACAAGGCCCGTGTTCAGTGTATGAACTGTCAGCTGTGGCAGCACGCAGACTGTGTGAACTACAAGGAAGAAAGCCTCACAACAACTCCGTTCTACTGCCCACACTGCCTGGTAGCCATGAAGCCAGTATCCACTGGTGCCACGCTCATCATTTCCCCCAGCTCCATCTGCTACCAGTGGGTGGAGGAGATCAACCGGCACATCAGGTCCTCCTCTCTACGGGTGCTGGTGAGGACAGGAGGACACACGGTGTCAGGTTTGACTTCTTTAGGTGTTTTAATCCCAAATTCTTCCACTCAGGTTTATCAGGGCGTGAAAAAACACGGATTCATCCAGCCGCGAATGCTCGCCGAGCAGGATGTGGTCATCACCACCTACGACGTGCTCCGCTCTGAGCTCAACTACGTCGACATTCCTCACAGCAACAGCAAAGATGGCCGCCGCTTCCGCAACCAGAAGCGCTACATGGCTGTACCCAGTCCCTTGGTTGCCGTGGAGTGGTGGCGCATCTGTCTGGACGAGGCTCAGATGGTGGAGTGTCCCACCGCCAAGGTGCGTTTAAGAAGGTCCAGTCAGAAAGTGGAAGGTGGGCAATAATGTGTCTGTTTGTAAAATATCTCATGAAGCACTTAATGGACTTGAACTTTCAGAAAGTAATTATTGGACACACGTCTACAACTGAGTAACCTTTGGAGTCAATTAAATTAAAGATGGTCGTCACAGCTAACATAAAGCCCCACACCGAAACACGTTTTACAAATACTGAGCCTAGATTAGATATCCTCCAGGAAAAACTCATAATAATTCACTCATTACATTATTTGAATGATGTGGCCAAAACAAGATACTCCAGCTTCTGTATATCTTAAAGGAACTGCGGGTCTTAAATTAAACGTTTCTAATGGAAGTTCTGGTATTGCTAGTTTTAATTAATACATGGTGATCACAGATCAAGCTGATCAAGCTAAATATCATCCAGTTCTGATCAACTTCAGAGGTAGGAAAATGAAACCATTAAAAAAAAGATGGTTGAAATTAGAGACGCTGGTGACAGAAATCAACAGGATTACCTTGACCTGTGATTGGCTGATCATCTTTTCTTTCTGTCCATGAACTCACCGTTACTAAATACATGCAATGAGATCTCCCATGTGAGAGATTTTACATCCAGAATCACAAGATTAGCAACATTCTAGGAGCGTTCATTGTACTATTCCTAGTACTTTGAAATAAATCAGGATCAGACGATCTGCTTGAGCAGGTCACCGCTGAACAAAAGTCAGACGTTGGTATCGATCCTCAAAATCTAAATCAGTTTCTAGTTTCCAATTAAAGCTGAAATTGGTCCGAGCTCAATAAGACAAGGACGAGTTATCAGATTGTTTTAAATATGTGTGTGTTTGTGTGTGGAAACCATGACCAATGGAAGGTGCTGGAAAATCACCCTGAAAGTGCTTAAATTTGATTTTGGCAAAGGAGTAAGAAACCCTGATTACTCCAAAGTTGTTCCAAATAAAGAAACGGCACCAAAACAGTTCATTTTAGACTCTCTTCAGAACAGGGAGGGGTGTGGAGAGTACCAATAATGATGAATTCAGACCAAAGAACTGCAGTTCCACTGTAAATGAACCACAACAGGATGATTTAGATGCAAAAAGGAAGAATTTAAAAGCATTATATGTCCTCTTTAGCAAAGAAAAGCTGGGTCTTTAGTTTAATCAGTGTTTTGTTTTTGCCTCAGGCTGCAGAAATGGCTCTGCGTCTCGCATCTGTCAACCGCTGGTGTGTCAGTGGCACGCCCGTCCAGAGGGGCTTGGAAGGTGAACTCGTATCTAAAATCTCAAAGTCAACAGTTTTAGCGATTTTTCAGATGAGAAAAGCGGATAAAATCTTGTTCTAACGGTGATTGTGTGTTTAGATCTGTATGGACTTGTGCTTTTCCTCGGAGTTGACCCATACTGGGTCAAACACTGGTGGGATCAGCTGCTTTACCGCCCCTATCGCCGTGGAAACACAGAACCCCTGTACAATGTGGTTGCACAGATATTATGGCGGTCAGCTAAAAAAGACGTCATTGACCAGGTAGAGTTGTAAAAGAACCGAGACTTTTATTGGTCATTTTATAGAAAATTATGTTTTTTATGAGTTAGAAAAATTGAATATTTACAAAAACGGATCAAATCCATTTTTGTGCAGTCGAATTTAATTTGAACTGAAATCTGCAGAAGTTAAAAGTCGTTTCTGTTTTCTTTCAGATTCAGATTCCCCCTCAGACAGAAGAGGTCCACTGGCTTCGCTTTTCCCCCGTTGAGGGTCACTTCTACCACCGGCAGCACGAGGTCTGCTCCCAGGACGCTTTGGTCAAACTCAGGAAAATCTCAGACTGGAGCCTGAAACTCGGCAGTCTGGACCGGCGCACCGTCACCACCATCCTGTACCCGCTGCTGAGGCTGCGGCAGGCCTGCTGCCACCCGCAGGCCGTGAGGGGGGAGTTTCTGCCTCTGCAGAAAAGGTTCACGTCTTTCCTAAAGGCAGCTGCAGAAGTTCATTAACTAGTTTAAACAGAGTGTAGCAGACAAGGTAACAGATCCCAGAAACCAACAGTTGTGTTTGTTTAAAGCTCGCTCCTGTGTTCCTCCTCTCCCAGCACCATGACAATGGAGGAGCTCCTCAAGTCCCTGCAGAAGAAATGTCGAGTGGAGTGTGAAGAAGCTCACAGACAATTAGTGTGCGCGCTCAATGGCTTGGCTGGCATTCACATCATCAGAGGTATAAACCCCCTCTTGGCTCCACTCTTTGTTTCCCATGGGAATCCGTTCAAACAAAGGAGCAGCCGTCGTCTCGTCCGTGTCCCCAACACGTTCTGCTCTGATGTGTTTTGTTGGCGCTAATCTCAGGGAGGCCCTTCTCTAAGATCGAGCTCTTTTCTCCACCTGCAGGTGAGTTTGGAGAGGCTGCAGAGATGTACAGAGAAGTGCTTCGTTCATCAGAGGAGCACAAAGACAGGCTGAAAACCGATTCGCTGCAGGTAGATAAGGACGTCTGACTGACTTCCCGTTCAGCTCATTAGATAAAGTTATACCTACGTTATTTTAATTTTCTTAGATTTTTTTAGATATTTAAATATTTTTTCCACAACTGTGGTGAAACAGAGGCTCCACGCCACCCACAACCTGATCGAACTTCTAAACGCAAAGCATGCTGGGATTCCTCCAACTCTGAGGGACGACCGACTCAACGAAGAGGTAAAGTCTCTCTGGATTGGTGTAGATGCATGCCTAAACCAAATTAGTAGGATTTTTTTTTTTTTGATCTTTTAAAAATATTTTTGGCATCCCTGTAGGCCGAGCAGCTGCGGCAACACTACATGACCAAATACGACTCTGAGGTCGTCGACGCCCACCAGGCCTTGCAGCCAGTGCTGCAGAACATCAAAGACCTGAAACGGAAAGTAAGAATACGTTTAATCACAATGAACCAAAGTTCTTTGCAGTGTTTTCTATTTACTGTTGATTGTAGACCACAGTAAGGAGTAATGTCTGTGACCTCGTTTAAACCCAGAAAATTCCTTTATTAACTAAAATAAAAAGTTTTTCTTTATCTGTTCTCGAGTCCCACAGGTCCGTCTGTGACATAACGATTGTTTTTACTCGTGCCTGAAAGGATCGAAACAGTTTCACCTTTTGGTTTTCAGGTTAATTTAAACTCTCCCTGGTGGCTGGAGGTCGTCCAGAGGTCGGTTCGCTGCTCCACGGACGACGACCTGGTGTCCCGCGTCCAGAATGAGCTGACCTGCAGCTACAAACAGCAACCCAACAAGCTCTCCATGGCAGACAAGTGCAACATTTTAATACCCAAGTTATTGAAGTTAGAGATCCTCTTCAGAACATCTCAGTAAAAACAAACTTCCTGCAGGTTCCGTGATGCCAGCGGTTTGCAGTTTCTGCTCACCACCCAAATGCAGGACCTGATGAAGTCCCAGAAGACCGTACGAGATGCGGTGAAGAGTCTGGAGGGTCCGGCTTCTAAAGAAGTCATCGAAGAAGCCACCGTTTGCCACCTCAGGCCCATGAGGCTTCCACTCAACAAGTACACAACTTTTATAGCATCGTCTCAAATTTACAAAGTTCAGTTCAGGTTTTTCTAGTAATTCTCAACAGCACAGGAAACGTTTTCCTAATTCTAACAGTGCAGCAGCCTGTAGGTGATCTTCACGTCTCTTTTCTGAATTCCAGCTGTGTGTTTTGCAAAGCAGACGAACTCTTCACTGATTATGAATCCAAGCTGTTCGCTCACACGTGAGTAAGAGGTTTGTTTCTAGGTTTTAATGGTCTGAACAGCATTGGCTGATTGGTAACCGCTGGCAGGGTGAAAGGTCAGACGGCCATCTTTGAGGAGATGATCGAGGACGAAGAAGGTTTGGTGGACGACCGTCTCCCCACCACCAGCCGCGGCCTGTGGGCGGCCAGCGAGACGGAGCGCACCCTGAAAGCCATCCTGTCGTTTTCTAAAGCCAAGCGCATGGACCCGGAGCTGGTGGAGGAGGGGAACACTTTTATGGAGCTGTTTGAGAACTGGAAGAAGGAGTACAAGGTATGTTCAACAAGTCAGAGCATCACTTACATTGGTGTGGAGTAAAAGCCGCCTCTGTCTACCCCCAGGTGCTGCACGAGTACTGGATGGTGTTGCGGAACCACGTGTCGGCCATTGACGAGTTGGGAATGGCCACCGAGAGACTTCGTGTTCGTCTGCCTGATGAGCCCAAACCCAAACTGCTGCACATCATCGAGCCTCACGAGGTGAGTCAAACTCATGATGATTCAGTATAAATCATCTAAAGTCAGATCAGCCTTAAAAACTGGGCGTCACTGATTCTTTTGGCTGCATTAGAAAGAACCGAAGGAATTTAGTCTGAGCCAAGGATCTAAAAGTCCTGAGCTTCTCTGTCTCATGGTTTGACCTCAGGTGGAGCAGAACAGAGTCAAGCTTCTGAATGACCAGGCTGTGGCCAAGTCTCAGCTCCAGAAGAAGCTAGGGCAGTTTCTGTACCTGACCAACCTGGAGAAGGTGACTTTAGAACGAACAGAGCATTTATAGCCGTTATCTCGTACCCCCCTTACATGACCCGTTTTATTGTTTTCCAAGTCACAGGACAAGTCAACCGGAGGGCTGAACCCAGAGCCGTGTCCCATCTGTGCCCGACCTCTGGGTCAGGAGGTGAGTGTGCTTGATAAAAAGCTTATCTGTTATTTATGACTCTTCAACACATCAAAACTTGATTTTGGAGATGTTTTCTGTTTAATCATTTATGACGAAAAAACATTTCCTTAGAAATCGGGTAAATTCTTGGGTCATGTGTTCTCCAGTGGGCCGTGCTGACTTGTGGCCACTGCTTCTGTAACGAGTGCATCGCCATCATCGTGGAGCAGTACAGCGTGGGCTCAAGGCGGCGAGCCATCAAATGTGCCATTTGCAGGCAGACCACATCCCACACAGAAATCTCCTACGTGTTCACCACTCATTCATCCAGCCACAACCAGGAAATACCGGTCAAGGTGAGTCAGCACCAACATAACGGTCCCAACATCGGGTTCATCCAGTGGAACGAGGAGTCGAGGACATGAATTTGATTAGTTTGTTTGTTTTAGGGAAGCCACTCCACCAAAGTGGAAGCAGTGGTGAGAACGCTGAAGGGGATTCAAATGACCGACCCCGGAGCCAAGTGTCTCGTCTTCTCCACGGTGAAACTAACGTTTATGTTTATGTATTTAGCAGATGCTTTTGTCCAAAGCGACTTGTGATGACAAAACCAGCTGGTTGCCCTTGAGGCTAACAACCAACACTAATCAATCGGTCCTAGGTGGCAGTGAGGCAGCAATCTTCCTGCTCTGTAGGACGGTGACTTGTTTAGTCGTAGTTAGGATGTGACTTTATGACTTGTTTTTCTGAGCAGTGGCAGAGTGTCCTGGACATCATCGCCAAGGCTTTGTTCGACAACAACATGGACTTTTCACAGATCAATGGAATTCACAGATTCCAGGTTTAATCTTTATTTTTGAGACTTTGGTTCAGAATAGCTTTGTAGTGAATCGTTTATCCCCAGATGTAGCTCATAGATGCTCTTATTTTTCATTTTATTTTCTCTTTTAGGAGAATCTCACTTCTTTCAAGTATGAAGAGAAGATCAACATCCTTCTCCTTCCTCTCCACACGGGCTCTAATGGACTGAACATCATCGAAGCGACGCACGTGCTGCTGGTGGAGCCGATCCTCAACCCGGCTCATGAGCTCCAGGCCATCGGCAGGGTGCACCGGATCGGACAAACCAAGTAGGTTTCCGGAAGCTGCAGCTGATGGATGTTGCTGTCACTGTCCAGCTGCTCAGACCTTTTGCTGACTTTGTCCACAACCTGACTGCAGTGTCCTCTGTCCCTCAGGCCGACGTTTGTTCACAGATTTCTCATCAAATCCACGATCGAAGAGAGGATGCAGGCGATGCTGAAGACAGCAGAAAAGAGGTTTGTTTACAACACATTTATCTTTAGTTAAAGAGCAAGTCACCCCCTACCAGATTCTTACTCAACTCCCACTTCCTGTTTGAAAAATGCAACAAAAGTTGTTGCCTTGCAGACCGAGAGGGCGGAGCCGCTAATAAATATGCACACACACAGGCACACAATAACACTGTGACATCATATGGTACCAGCTAACATTCTAGGGTACCTCTTAGCCAATAGCGATGGCAAATTTAAATTCAAATGCAGTGCAGAGTTTTTACCTGACAATGGCACAACACTGACAGTTTTAGGCAGATAACTAACTAAAATGCACTAAAGTGCTAAACTATTGACTACACGTGTCTGCAGCACGATTAGACACGCATTTATATAGTTTATCGGGAAAAAAAGTTGATTTGGGGGTGACTTGCTCTTTAAAGGTGCTGATCATTTATATACTAGTAATAATGTTTGGTTCTAATCTTCCAGCCACACCAGCACGACGATGAGGCACTCAGAGGCCGCCGTTCTGACCGTGGCCGACCTGGCCGATCTGTTTACTGATGACACTGAACCTCTGGAGTTACCCCAAACAGCTGGTTGCTCTTAAAGCAACATCCTGGTGATAGATCTACTCTGATTTTGCACATTCCACTTTTTTAAACACCCTAATAATTATGAAAAACATTTCCAAAAGACTGATATTTTGAGTAACAGAAACATAATAAATAAATACGTAATAAAATTGGGTTTTTTTTGTGTGTGTATTTAAAGTAACACTTGACATGTTTTGGAGCAGTAGGAGGGCGTGTTGTTCTAGGTGTTATTTCCTGGCTTGTGTCTGACTGTACAGTGGTTGCTTGTGTTATTATATATGATATTGTGTCTTTATAGATGGCCCCTCTGTATGGAGATACGTAAATCCAGAGTTGGAACGCTGTAGTCTCTGTTTAAAACGTGATCTCACAACATTCAGGAAATAAAAGTCTTTTAGTGACAGGAAGTCACTCTGTAACAACAAGCTCTCTTGGTGCTTTTATTAGTTTTATTAGCACAGAAGCAGGAATAAAGTTTTATATCTGCACTCATTTAAGCTCGTTTTGACCTTTTTACAGCTCGCATAGGCTAGACTTTCAGCAAACATCAAAACAGTGACAGAAAATCTCACTTACAGGACAAAAAAAACACAAGATTTAGTGTCTTGGAAACTTAAATTGTGAATAAAAGCCATAAAATCTGGAAAATGTATAGATTTCCACATCATTTAATCTTTAGAGTGTTTTACAAATGATCTGGACACGTTAAGCTGTGATGTAGCTTCAGAGCTTATTTGTTTTCTTGCAGTGGCTGAATGTAATGGTCCTTTGCGTTGTTGCTGAATTGCCCTTGACCTGTAATGAGTTTCTTTTCTGCTGATTGACTGGGATTCCCGCAGCTGTAAAAATTTAAAAGTGTCGAGACAAAAGATGTAGACGTGGAAGAGCCTGGGCCCCGTGCTGCGGTTCCTCTTCACATGGTTACCAGACGTGTTGTAGTACGAGGTCGTTGTACGGTGTTTACTAAAAGGACATGGCCGTAGTGGGCGGTCCCATCCGCGTTACCTTGGCATCCCCTCGGTTCTCTATTCATGTGAGGAATCTCATTGTTTTCTGGGGCATCATTCAACCTGGTGTTTTTAAACAGTTAGGCTCCCAGACTGGAGAGGGGAGCTACGTCTCCTGGTGAAAATTCACAGATCTGACTGGTTTAGCTGAGAGGAACCACCAAAATCAGTGGATGATGGCGCCTGCTTGTGTGGTTTTTGCCTGGTTTGTGTTCAACATGAGGAGCATCTCCTCAGCAGTGTACCTGGAGCCGCAGGAGGGTGAGCGCACACCTCACACATCTGGAGATGAATGGTCAAACAAGCTGCAGAAACTTCAAAAGTAAATGTTCAAACTGACTAATACTTCATTTTTCAAATGTATTTATTTTTAGTTACATGTAGTTATTTTTAATCAAATGCATCTGATCATTTTTGTGAGAAACATGAAAATCAATGTAAAAATACAAAAAAATATTTTATGTATAAACATCTGCAACATGCAGACTCTTCAGTTGGTAACTGTTTGGCTTAGTTTACACAAAATTTAAACATTTTTATAGTATTTCTACTGTAAATGTGAAAGAAGCTTGAAATTAGAAGAAATATTAATAATGCAGGAATTTAATTTACATTAATTTCATAAAAATTTTGGTTGGTTGAATGTGTGATCGACAATTCCCTTTTTTATTCAAAAAATAAGAAATAAAAAAACCAACAATTTTGCATGAAGAAAACCTACTAAATAATTTTCACCTTATCTAAGAATAAAATGTATTTCTGTAGAGCTAAATGAAACCGTCATCTGCACCAACGACCACATGGAAGTCGTCATTCCAAGTGCGTTTTTCCTCAACAAAGTGCCTCCAGTTTACGTAAGTCAAAGAAAATCATTTATCCTTAAACTCACCTCACCTCAGAATCAGTAAAGTAAAGACAACCTAAAGAATATTCTAATATCTGGATTGATTGCTTTTGTCTCTCAGGTCTGGGATTTGCACTTAAACGACCCAGAGTGCCGTGGATCAGAAGTTGGCGACGACTTTGTTTTTAGCATAAAAACCAACCTGTCAGACTGTGGGACCAGCGTGGTACGTCAGGAGCATTTCTGCTGATTATCCTCCCTGAAGGCTGCATTTTAGACTCATCTAATTAATCAAAAGTGGCACGTGAGCTCAGACGTTTAGAACGACTCCTAACAAAGGAAACAGACATCAGCTTTAACTGCTATGAAGACAAACTACTCCTGTTTTTCCCTCTAATGGTAACGTCACGTCCCTGCCTTAATAAATTAGCTATTTTACGATTACCAGGGTTTTCTTGTGGAACCTTTTCACATCCAATCAGGATCTTTTAGGCCACTTGTGGCTGTTTTTTTTTTAAATAGACGAGTAAAAATGTCCCTTTTCTCTGCAGAGATGTAAATGACGACCATGTTTACATGGGAGTGTAACATAAAATACACCGTGAAAGCCAGACAGAAAGGGAGTGGCTGTTTGTGTTAAGATTGAAGACCAGTGTTGTTCCTTTTCCCTCCCAAACAAGCTCAGAAATTCAATCAGACCAGCAGAAAGAACCCCAAAAGGCCTCGCCGCTCTAAATTATCAGGATTTACATAAAAATACAGATTATTTGTTGAGGTTTATTGAATGGGAAGGCCATGAATCATTAGTTAACGGGGCCCCCAGATCATTTCAATCCAGCCACTCTCATAAACTTAGGAGAGCTTTGAATCCCTGCTTCACCACTCTAGTGCTCTTAAACGGCTTGCTGGAATGTTTGACGGTTTTATTTTTCTTGTGAAACAAGTAAAAGGTTAAACCCAGCTTTCAACGGGGACAGAGATGGATTTTACAAGGTTTCTGCACAGAGGTTGATGAAATCAGCTGACTGAAAAAAGAAAAATACCCAGCTGTGGATTTTTATGAACTGAATATTTAGGTTTAAAGAACATTTTACCAGGTTAGTGTTGTAGCCTGAAGCACACCTTTAAAGTAGACATACCAGACGGTTCTTGTCCACAGAAACCTTGAATTTTTTTTTCATTTTTCTGTTCAACAGTCTTATTTAATTATGTTTATTTAGCAGTATTTCTTACCTTTTGTAATGTTTTCATATTGTTTCTGTGTTTTTGCCTGCCTGTCTCTTTTTTTTTTCAAAATATCTCACAATCTGGGAGGAGTTTAAATCATCGTCATCATCAACTTTATTATCAGACTCAAGGTCCACATTAAAAAGAAACAAAATAAAAACCCATAAAAACGATACAAAAATTATAAAAGACATGCATACCAGTGTCTCCACATAGATGACTGGTGGTGACGACGCACTAAAATGGGGATCAACCAGCATCCGCACAAGTCTGTTCTTAGAGTTCTTCAATCGCAGGATAAACCTGTAGATCAAATTCTTCATTATGGCTTAGAAGGTCCTGACATGAGCATTACAAAATAAAAGACTTGCACTACAGGACCGAGGCTTTCCTAGCAGAGTCCTAAATGCATCGTTGTACGCTACTTTAAGCTAAGATGGCCTTCCTATACTTACACCACTTACTTAAAGTTGTGGAACACTGAAAAAAGATTTTTAATGATTATTTCTGATTATAATCGATCACTCTGAGTTTTTTGTGCAGGCTGAACATGAAAATAGTCTCCTACACCTATCTCCTACGTTAGCTTCTGATAGAAAGTAGAACTCTAGGATTTGAAAAGCCCGACAGCGTGACATCACACTGTCACTTAATATTCGTGGACTCACCCATCTCCACTTACGACAGGCTGTTGTTGGTTTAGCATCCAGCAAACAGCAGAGAACATCCCGACTAGTAGAAGCTAACCATTAGCAACTTAACCACATAGCAGACCTCCTCCAGGCTTGTTATTTGTGGAGATAAAACATCAACATTGCAAAGTAAACAGAGTCAGTAGTAGAGTTGCATTGCTGTTAGCCAATCAGAGGTGAGATGTCCAAATATCAGCAATAAGACACGATATCCTGCCTCTGATCTGGCAATCTTCTAGATCCTGAAACAGGTGCACCAGGGCTTTTTGTACCCAGAGTAGATCTTACAAGGCATTCATTCCTACTAGAGATCACAACAAATGTATTGATTAAATGAGTGAACCACACCTTTAATAAAACTCCTAAAAAATGTTCATTCAAGATGGCTGCCATCGTTAATCGGCATTAGCAAACATAAACTGTCCATAACTCAGTCGACTGTAGATATTGAGCTGCATTTTTCTGCAGTGTAGCTGAGAGTCATTCAACACATATGCTGAATGCACGATAAAACGTTTAGGTTTCACCAAAGGAACTAGAGAACAGGGACATTTTTACTGTGGACCATAGTTTCATGCATTCCAATTTTTCATGCAGGCAGACTTTTATACATTTATTGGCTGAGGCGGAAAACTCTGTACTGAAAAATATCTGAGTCGTCCTGTTTGGCCTCTGATTTAAAACCTGCTGACATCTTAAAACTCCGGGTCACGTGAATGTAATGGTTTTGTCCCATGGGTGGGACGTTGGAATGCTAACTGACCTCTCCATTCCTTGATCTGTCTGTAGGTCTCCGATGATACACACATCATGTTCATAAACACCATACATAACAACCTCTCAGATGTCATCACCAGAAACTACATCAACATAACGTTTGTGTGCCGCTACCCCATCAACTACATGGTCCAACAACCCAACGGCAGAAACATGATCAGAGTGGACGTCAGGTAGCCATTTTTCATTTGTTCCTTCCCTGACTCCTTTTACTTATTGGTTAAATAATTTGTAGTTTTTTTATTGTTATCGCCTTACAGAAGCATCACTCTGAACACTGAGGATGGAAACTTCTCAGTGTCGATGCTTCTGTACAAAGACGAAGCCTTTAAGGACAGATGGACCACCGTTCCATCACTGAGTCTGGATGACGACGTCTTTGTGAAGGTTTTCATGGTAAATAAAGTTTTTACCACAAAAAACATTTTTATTGTTTGTTTAAATAGGAAAATAAAAGAAACATGTCTAAATAAAATAACTTGAGTGAGACTGTGCTGAACATTCTGCTGAAAGCATCTCAAGTATTCTTAGTATTGACTGCTATTTTTGGATGAGTTGAACCCGTGTAGTTGCCCAACGTTAGGCAACATGCTGGAAATCCAACTCTTCACCCTTGACTCGACTGTCTTATGAAAGCTGCTTCTTTGCCGGAGTTGATACACATGTTGTTTACTTATGAATCAGCATTTCATGGTATGTGGAGTGACTCAGATGATTGGGAACTTTGTTTCTTCACAGATTCCGGCTCACCTGACGCTGCGTTTGGAGAGATGCTGGGCCACACCGACCAGTCATCCGTTTGGAAATATTCAGTACACCTTCATCCGAGACAGGTCAGAGCGCTTTGAACCAAACCCTTCATATCCTCACCGATTCTTTGTGTTTACATCAGTTCCTTCAGAGATGCTTGTTTGTGCTCTGTTGCTGTTGCAGAGCCATTGCTCCACATTTGCAATCAGCTCTAAGTGGATGTATTGAAGCGCTGCTGAAATCTGAAATAAGAGAATTTGTTGCCTGGAGAGCAGGCCAGACAACAAATCTCAGAGCTTGGTCATGTGACCCCTGTCTGAGAGGCCTTGTGCATCTCAGTTCAACAGCTGCGCATGCCCTTGACATGCACTTGCTACTGTTAGCAATAGCAAGCGCTGATAAATGCACAATGATTTCACAATGTCACGGTGAAAACAAACATCCAGATCTGTTTACGCATTTTTTAGCTTCACAATTAATCAGATGAAGTGTAGATCTTACATATGTTTTTTTATACCGGTAGGCCTCCCTGACCTCCTTCTCTCCCTCCCTAGTTGTCCGGTGCTGACAAACAAACAGACGCTTAGTGTACTGAGGAATGGCGAAGGTCCAGAGGCCACATTCAGGATACAAATGTTCAAGTTTGTTGGCAGCTCGTACACTGATGTCTTCCTTCACTGCAACGTCCAGATCTGCCACAGTGGCCAGAGTGTGTGTCAGCCTGTGAGTGAGCTCTTCGTGGTGGTCAGAGGCCAGCTCAGACACGTAGCCTGCCGTATGCAAAGCATATGTTCTTATTATAGCCCCGTCAGGACGGAAACCTTTTTTTAGTCATATGAACTGAGAGTTAAGCTGTTCCTATTTTAAATGTAGAAGAGTTGTAACCTTTTTTGTATATATTTCTGACACAGAACTGTTCTGTTGAAGATGGATTCATGAGAATAAGGAGAGACATCCCACTGTCCCACACAGTGTCTTATGGACCAATCAGACGACTTGTCACTGACAACGTAAAACCTAATCTGAGTGTGTATCTGCATGATCTCTGCAATCTGCACAGTTAGAACAGTCATAAACAGAAATGTTATATAAAAAATGAATCTGTGTTTTTTTTTTTGCCCATAGATTCCAGTGGTGTCCCTCCCGTAGAAACGTTTGTTCTCGGAGGTTTGTTGGTCATCTTGATCCTGGTCACGGGGGTGTTTGGGAGGTTGTGGCTTCGCTCCAGACGTTTCTACCCAGCGAGGGAGGCTCAGCTCACCCTGTCTAATATTCACCACATCTCAGAGGTGGCCTCATAAATCCAGGACTTCTGAAAGCTGACGGACGAACACGGATATGGATTCACAAATGTGATTTATAATTATGAATATGTTGCATTTTTAATACGTGTAAGAAATCACAGTAATAAAGATATTTCTCAAGTCATGTTCTGTGTCACTAATGGACTTTTTTCTTTCCATCTTGTATCATGATAGGCCAATATAACACATTTTATTAATACCATTTATTTGTAATTCAGAATAATTGATATTAAAACAAATAAAAACTCACTAAACCAAGTTTATGCTTGTTGAAATTCCACAGATGTCGTGACAGTTATTAATTTTGATTACATGTAAAACCCTCCTCAGGGTTTTCCCCTGTCTATTTCAGTGCACTGTCACACTTCTGCGCCCATTAACTTGAGTGGTTACGTGATGACGTAACGCTGCGACGTCCTAAACCAGGATCAACAACTACGAGTCTGAGCAGCAGAGGACTCGCAGCTGCTGAAACAGTTAAACTTTCTAGAAGGCTTTTGGCACTTTAAGTACGCCGGCTTGTTTATGGAGCAGTAGTTTCCGCCTTACAGACAGCGACAACCATCATAGACGGAAGATTACACCCACCAAACGAGTTGAAGACGCGCGTAATTCGGGTAAGCCGTTTCCAGAATCCACCGGCTGGTGTTGTGCCGAAAAAAGCACCCCTACAGCGAACACTGACTGTTAGCGAACCACCGAGATGTAGCCGCAAATGCTAGCAGGCTGGAAGTGCTGATATTCTTTTGTTTAGCTTGTAAATGTCAGTATCTTTTCATTCTTTTAAACTTTGTTCAACTTTTAGTGCTAAAATTAGTAGATAACTAGGTTGCGTCGTTCATTTAAATTCCAGCACAGTGAATATTTGTCCGTTTATAAACAGGTTGTTTATGTTTTAACTGTCTGTAAACATGCCAGCTCTCTTAGCGTAACTTAGCTAGTTGTAAGCTAATAAGGCAGTAGCGTCTTGAACAATAACCGTGTTGTTCGGACTCACTGCTTTGCTTCGGGTCTTTAAATGCTCGTTCTCTGCGCCGTAAGTCTTCCTAATCTCCTGAACTAGACTTGCTCACACCGTGGTTATGCTGTCTGCACAAGTCATATTGTAGTGGGTTAACGTGATGACTAAAGAAGGATTTTCGAGTTTTAAGACAAAAGTTCAGATTACCTCTGGACAAACCTGTAAAACCTCGAAACCAAAGACTCATTGTGAATTTGAAGTGTTGCAAAGCAAATCCGTGAAAGAACACTTGTGGGGGATGGAGGAGTGCTTCATAACCACCGCCCCCTAACTTGTAGGGTCAGTTTTTGTGTCTCTATGGTCTCTACACGACATCATTTGTTTTTGTTTTACAGGGTTGAAACTCACTGCTTTCCTCAGTTGCAGCCAAGGAGCAGCACTGAAATGGAGGACCTGCACCCCCATTGCTTCAAATGCATCAACAGGAGATGCATGGTCAGACCAGAGCTAGGTGTGTCCTGCGATCTTGTCGGCTGTCCTCTTGTTTGCGGGGCGGTTTTTCACTCATGCAAGCTAGAGGAGCATCGCCTGCTGTGTCCGTATGAGCGAATGCCTTGCCTAAACCGTGAATTCGGCTGCCCTTTCACCATCGCAAAGATCAAGATGGCCAAGCATCTGGAAACATGCCCTGCCAGTATAGTATGCTGCACTATGGAGTGGAATCGCTGGCCCGTGAGCTACGCAGATTGCAAGTCCTATGAAAACTTGAGCAAAGAGTTTGATGAGGTGGAGCAGCTGGACATGGCATTGGCCCTGCAGGATCAGAGGATGCTGTTAGAGTCCCTCAAAGTTACAACCACCGTTTCAAAGAATGGAGAAAAAGAAGTGGATGAAAGTGATAAAATGGCCCCCGCTTCGGCTTTGTCAGAGGTAGTAATGGGTAACGGAGCTGTGGAAATGAAGGAAGAGCCTTACAATGATTTATGTCCAGAGAAGATGAACAGAAGTTTAGTTGCTGCTTTAGATGTCCTGACCAGTTCCAACAGCATTGATGTTCTTGTTGAGAATATTAATGTAGAAAAGACTGATAAGAATGGGGCTTTCCATAATGGAGAAAATGGGGGGGTTGTGCTTGTTGCTGAAAATGGAAAAAATGTTGAAATGCAGGACAGCGACTCTGATTCAGAGTGTGAGCTGGGAGCGGTGGGTGGAGTGGATTGTTCTGTGGAAACGGATGAGGAGAGTTCTGTTAACTGGGCTGATGAAAACAATTTAGTAGAGTTGCTTTTGGAAGAAAAAGACTTGATGGATGAACCAATAAATAATGCTGACTTTGTTTGGCCAGAGGTGCTTCCGAGTTTCATGCCAGATGTAGCACCGGAGCCTCCTGTGCCTCAACAAGCCCCACTTGCACCACTGATGCCATTCCTGTTGTCTGAACATGTGACAAATAACTTCTTGCATCAGTTGCCCACGGAACTCAGGTATAGGTGCTTGCAGCAGAAACTACAGAATGTAGAAGTGCTTAGGGGAATACGTATGTTTACATTAAACGGACGTCGGGCCCTGCTGTCGGACCCGTACATGTTTCGAGCAAAAATGGAGGACAAAGCTGTCGACACGTCAGACTTGGAGGTAGCCGATGACCCCATGGGCCTTCACGGCATCGATCTCATAACGGCAGCTCTGCTGTTCTGCCTCGGCGATTCTCCGGGAGGCAGGGGGATCTCCGACAGCAGGTTTGTTGATGGCTACCACATCGACTTTGGTACTCAGACATTCTCCTTCCCTTCAGCCATACTTGCAACCAACACCATGGTGGGGGACATAGCTTCAGCCTCGGCCTGCGATCACGCCAGTCCGCAGCTTTCCAACCCCAGCCCCTTCCATACGCTCAGGCTGGACTTAGTGGTGGAATGCGTGGCTCGCTATCAAACCAAGCAGCGCTCCATGTTCACGTTTGTGTGTGGGCAGCTGTTTCGACGGGATGAGTTCTCTTCTCATTTCAAGAACGTTCACGGAGACATCCACGCCGGACTCAACGGCTGGATGGAGCAGCGGTGTCCTTTGGCCTACTATGGCTGTACGTACTCCCAGAGGCGATTTTGTCCATCTGTCCAGGGCTTCCGTATCATCCATGACAGACACCTGGGTTCTTTTGGGGTGCAGCCTGGTTTATCCTTGAAAGCTGGAGACAAACTCTCGAGAAAGACCCGCTGTAAAGGCTCTCCGTTCGATCAGTTCAGCAGTCTTCCTTTTGAGGTGTTGCAGCATGTAGCGAGTTTCCTCGACAGCTTCAGCCTGTGCCAGCTGTCCAGAGTGTCCCGGACCATGAGGGACGTGTGTGCCAGCCTGCTGCAGATGCGCGGCATGGTCGTCCTGCTGTGGGAGAAGAAGCGGCGTGACGACGGCTTTCCTTCATGGCAGATCACACACAAGGTGAGAACTTTCTACGTAGTCTGTTTAAAATGTAAAAGTGGTTTAGAGTTTTGATTAATCCTGTAAAACGCTGCTCTGTTGTTCAGGTGTGGCGTTTCAGCACCGCTTTTGGCACAGTGAACGAGTGGAAGTTTGCAAACATCGCCAGCATGGCCGACCACCTGAAGAAGTGCAAGTTCAACACAATCGCTCGCCGGGAGGAAGCGGTTCCCCTGCCGTGCATGTGTTTCACCAGAGAGCTCACTAAAGAGGGGAGGTGTTTACGATCGGTTCTCAAGCCAGTAGCATAAACCGAAAGGGTTTCCTGTGAACATTCTTGTGACCATAAGAACTCTAAAACACCGTGTTTACAGACATTCATCTCTCCGTCCATGGAGCATGAACAACTTCTGGTTATCCTCTACTTTACACACTAGGCTGCAGACATGAGCGTCGCTCTCCCTCACTGTTCTGAGTAACTTTGACATAACAGTAACAATAGGGTGCTTGTTTTTCAATCAGAAAGAAGAGTCTGTGCTACATGTGTAGTTAAAGTAGGTCATTAACCTTAGACCAATGAGAGTTTGGTACTAAAACCTCAATGAGACCTTCCTTTCAACACATAGCAGGTGTTTTGTACCATTTTGCGTCTCCTGATCTGTGTTCTAGTGAAAATCCAGATTTAATGGCTTTAAACGTTCATAATGAGACTGACCAAACACCTGTGTTGCATCTGTGCCATTCTACATGTTGGTCAAACTTCAGCATCATCAGCACGATGACCTCATCCAGCGCAGTTTGTGGATTTGTTTTTTGACAAAACATCGGTGGTCCATCGTGTTGCTGTAGCGTGTCCGCGCGTTAGTCAGGGTTAGATGTGAGACAACTAGCCTCCAGCTTTCAAAACCAGCACAGTTTTGACCTCATTAACCCTGCAGGGCAGGTTTTAGGAACCATGACGGACACACACACACACTTTACTCACACTTCTTTATTATTTGGTTGTTTTTTACACTGCACCTGCCTGCTGTGGTTTTATTGTCTCAGGTGTTTCAGTTGGAAGCTTTTTGTCACTTCGGGTTTGGAGAAAGTGACTCATCTGCTTGCCAGCCCTTGGTTCTTGTGGGTTCCCATAAACGGCATGATGTGTCTCAGCTTAGGAATAAGTGTGTGTGTGTGTCTTTTTATCAGGGAGGTGCTCACAGCTAAAGCAGGCTGTTTTAGTTTAATGCAGAGGGATTTAGCAGAGATACTTGGTTTAAAAAAATAAGCCTGAAAGGAAAACTACAAATACTTTTAATACAGAAATAGTTTAAAATGTCATTTAAGCTTCAATGACGTTTCATTTGAAGCTGAATTGTTTTTATTTTTCTAGTCCCCGTCCGTGTTTGGACGACCTGTTTTTTTTACTGGTACTTTTATAGGAAACCTGCCTCGGTTAGATGTGAATGACTGATTTGCACATGAATGCATGTACTGTAAAACTAAAATCCTAAATCTGTGCTCGAGCTGACTGGGTTTCACTCTCGTCACATTTTGCAAGTTTATTTTAATTTTTTTAAACACAGATCCGTAAAGCTACAGAATATTTTTACAGGTTTTTTTTTCATTAACACTGATTTATTACAGTTTCACCTGTTCAGCATTTTGTACCACCAGGTACTTGAGTTGTTTTCTCACATGTTCTGAGCTGTTTTATTTTATTTTAACTCATCAGTGTTTGTGTAAAGTCACACTGGGCTTTAATGAGCCTCATTCAGATCACGCATGATTAAAAATAAAGACAAAAATGAGGTCTTCATCTGCAGGTCACTCTTGTTGCAGCGGTGTGGTTAGTTTTTGTACCCAGAGTGTGTCGACATCATCAGTATTTATTTTTGTCACTACTTTTGAAGTGTTTTTTCACCGTTGTACGCCTGCTTCATTTGTTTGACTTTAATAAAGGGACAAAGTTTGTAAAAGACTTTCTTTACATCAGCCAGCATTTCCAGAGAGCTGCTGCAATAAACTAAAAATGCATTTGGTTGATAAAAAAGAAGCTTCACACATAATATGTTGCATGATATATAAATGAAGCTAACACAAAGCTGCAGCTAGATGGCACTAAAGCAGTATAAGTCATCCAGATGAATGATGGGATGTACAGGTGCCGGTCATTAAATTAGAATATCATGACAATGTTGATTTATTTCAGTAAATCCATCCAAAAAGTGACATTTTAAATGTTTATTCATTTAATTTTGATGATTATAACGAACAGCTAATGAAAAACCCAAATTAAGTATTTCAGAATATTCGAACATTGTGAAAATGTTCAATATTGAAGACCCCTGATGCCACACTAATTAGCTAATAAACTCAAAACATCTGAAAAAGACTCAATGGTCTCTCAGTCTAGTTCTGTAGGCTACACAATCATGGGGAAGACTGCTGACTTGACAGTTGACCAGATGACCACTGACACCTTACGCAAGGAGGGCAAGATACAAAAGGTCATTGCTAAAGAGGCTGGCTGTTCTCAGAGCTCTCTATCCAAGCACATTAACAGAGAGGAGAAGAGAAGGACAAGGAAGAAAAGAAGTGTACAAGCAACAGAGATAACCCTACCCTGGAGAGGATTGTGAAACAAAACCCATTGATAAATGTTGGGGAGATTCACCAAGACTGGACTGCAGCTAGAGTCAGTGCTTAATGAACCACTACGCATAGACGTATGCAAGACATGGTTTCAGCTGTCGTAATCATTGTGTCAAGCCACTCAGCGCCTCACTCGGGCTAAAGACAAACAGGACTGGACTGCTGCTGAGTGGTCCAAAGTTATGTTCTCTGATAAAAGTAAATTTAACATTTCCTTTAGAAATCAAGGTCTCAGAATCTGGAGGAAGAGAGATGCACAGATCCATGTTGCTTGAGGTCCAGTGCAAAGTTTTCAGTCAGTGATGGTTTTGGGTGCCATGTCATCAGCTGGTGTTGGTCCGTGGTGTTTTCTGAGGTCCGAGGTCAACGCAGCCGTCTACCAAGACGTTTAATAGCACTTCATGCTTCCTGCTGCTGACCAACTTTATGGAGATGCAGATTTGATTTTCCAACAGGACTTGACAGCTGCACACAGTGCCAAAGCTACCTGGTTTAAGGACCATGGTATCACTGTTCTTGATTGGCCATCAAACTCACCTGGCCTTAACCCCATAGAAAATCTACGTGTTATTATGAAGAGGGAGATGCAACAGGCCAGATCCAACAATTCAGAAGAGCTGAGGGCCACGATCAGAGCAACATGGGCTCATCACACCTGAGCAGTGCCACAGACTGATGGACTCCATGCCACGCCGCATTGCTGCAGTAATCCAGGCCAAAGGAGCCCCAACTAAATACTGAGTGCTGCACATTCTCACTTTAAATGCTCAATCTTTTAGTCAACATTTATCAAATTATTTTCTTGCATTGGTCTTAATTGATGTTCTAATTTTCTGAGATACAGAACTTGGGATCTTCATTAGTTGTCAGTTAGAATCATCATTAAAGAAATAAACATTTGAAATAAGTCAGTTTGTGTGTAATGAACGAATCTAATATTTGTTTTGAATGGAATTACTGAAATAAACCAACTTTGTCATGATATTCTAATTTACGGACCAGCACCTGTAGATGCAGCAGACATTGTGCCCGTTTGATGTGTACGTTTATTTTTAAGTGTATGTTTGGTGCAGGAGGATTTCAATGAAAATAGTCACCTTGCAGGATTTAAAACAGATGTTTCTTTGTTTTTATTTAGAAATCAATCCATCTAAGGCCCTTTGGTGATCATAAAAATTAAGACAACATCTGCAGGTGATGTTTGATGTTTTTACCAGGAGTAGGGATGGTGTGAACCCACGAGGACTTGTTGTCCGTTGGATCTTAAGACCAACGCCTTAACCACTCGGCCATCCTGGTGACGAGTCAGCTCCAGAAGGAATCACGTCAAGGGTTAACTTAACTCCCAGTGTCATTCACAGTGTTTCAGATAAACCCAGTTCCTCTGTCAGTAAACACCCACCAGAACCCACAGTGACAACTCTTTTCAACATCAAGCTGACAGCTATATTTGAAAACACCCACAGTGGCTCCAGCGCCGTGTGATGGCCTGACTCATCTTCACGCCACCAGCTGGCGACTGGAACTCCCCCTGCTGTGGGTGAGAAACATCGTTTTGAGTCCCTAATCTGAGAAAAAATCCAGATTACCAAAGAACTCTGGTACCAACAGGAAGTCCCCTGCTCTGGCTCTGAGTGTTTGTACTGACACTGATTCAGGTACACGCCTGAGAGAAAAGCTTGTGTGGATGTAACATGACACCAATCAGACTCCAGACGCTGGAGCTAATCTCATATGAAGCAACAAAAGCTCCGGCATAAAGCTGGAGCAAAACGAGGCTTGTTGTTCAACACGAACGCAGCTTATCTCCCAGCTAACCACTAATATTTGTGTTTCTACACACTTGTTGGCCAACAGCTGCAGCAACGTCAGCTCCAGCTTTTGTTTTTTTTTCTCCCATTTTAATGGTCGCCGTTTCATTCCAAAGCAGTAATTTAGAAATAAATCAAGTTTTACTGAATGAAACATGCATTACCTGACATAAAAAGCTGCAATGACATATCTTTGATGAGACGTGGAGTCATGTGGGTGCTGCAGAAAGTAATAATCAGTTACGATCAGGAAATGCAACAACTCGATTACAACTGAATGCATTTGTATGTGAACAGCGCGGTTTGAAATGACTCTTCCTCCTTCTCAGACCAGCACAGTACGTGAAAATGAAGTGAGATGTCTGACGCTGACCCCGTAAAAGGAAAATTATAAAGAGTTCCAGTTTAAATCTGACCAAGAATCATTTACAGCACGGGAAGCAGCAGCAGAAGAGTTTCTTGCATGGGTTGTTTTCACTGTATTCTTTAGCCTGTGTGATTTGAACCGTTGCCTTGGCAACGTAGTCCTGAGTAGAGCAGACGTTTGCTTCTATGTTGTCCAGCATGCAGCCCTGCTCCTCCACCAGCTGAGCCATCTGGGAGAAGAGCTCGTGGATGTCTCTGATGCGACCCTCCAGCTCCAGCAGCTCCTTGTGTCTGCTCTCTATCTCGCTCAGAGCAGATCTGGTAGTCCTCCCCTCCAAAAGGAGATTATCCGAGAAGACGTTCCACTTCCCGCTCTCGATCATCTCGTCCAGCTGCTCCCTGGTCACCTCCTTGCCCATGATCTCCGCCTGCCTCTGAATGCGGGTCTTACAGTTTTCCCTCTGGATCATTTCGGCCTCGTTGTACTCAGACATGGCCTCGTGGAAGGCCCGAGTCAGAGAAGTGTACTGTGAGCGCACCATACGAGACAGAGCCGACGTGAAGCCGTGTTCCTCTCCAAGCTTTTTGCTCAGCTTTCCAAGCTTCTCCAGCTGGGCGTAGATGGCCTCCCCCCTGGCTTTGATGTCCCGGCCGAGCGCGTTAGAGTCCCGCTTGATGCTGCTAAACCTCCTGACGGACGTGAGGAACCGCGTGTTCTGCTTCGCCAGACGCTTCACGTCAATTTTCAGCAGCTGCAGCTCCTTCCTCATCATCTGGGCATCTTTGTAGATGCCGTCCATCACATCTTCACCTTGAAACACGATGGCCAGTGACTCCGCGCCCTCCTCATCCTCAAAGACTGTGTTATGCTCCTCCTCAGCAGGCTCCGGGGTGACGGTTTTCAGCTCAGATAGTCGGTCCTTCATTTCACCTGCAGCAAGAGTGAGTTCGATCTGTTATTTTCTAAAATATATTAAATGTTCCGTCGCTCTGAGATGAGCGGAAGCTGGACATATCTCCAAAAGACAAAGATCTTTGAGGCCCAGTTTGCAGTTTTGTCTTCTGAGTAACTTAAGAGACGAGGAGAGTAATAGAGTACAATAAAAACAAGATCTGCTTTCAGACTGGCTCCAGATATCTGACCCAACACTCTTTTAAGCAGCATCTTAGGAGGTTCCTCAGGTTGTCAGGAAATAATAACGCTGCAGAAAAGAGGAACAGTGCTGATCATCATGTGGCCATGATTATCAGCACGAGACGGGCTTTTAAGCTTCCTCGAAATTATGTAAGATCTTCAAAGTGATCCGAGAAATGTGCTAAAATTTAGTCTTATTTGGTGCATTAAACCAGAGGTGGCCCTCGGACAACAAGCTGGACCAGAGCCCTCCTAGAAAACACAGACCCCTAATTAAACTCTTATAAGCTGCTATGACACATTTAGAATCAGCTTTTTGCTGCTGTTACTCACTGGCTGTGACGTAATATGGACCATTTTATTTTTGGAAACAATAAAAGTGGGGCAATCATTCAAAAATGTCTCATTTTTATCTTTATGCATTTTGGACTCGACCAAATTCTTCCTGGTTACAGAAATGATGATCAACCATATAAACACACCTAATTAAAAACCATTCAACTCTTACTATACTTATCTCGTCATAAAGCTGCTACTGCTCTCACTTTAATTAGTTTTGATTGAGTTGCGATAAGATAAAATAGGTGTGGACGCTTCTCTGGTTATGAATGAATAATTAAATAAATAAATAAACTGATGGTTTAGAAATAATTTCAGGCGGTAATGTCTACAAAAGGAAACTGCTCTGTTACTTCCTCAGATTGTGACGCTTTCAGCTGCTAGTTAGTCTCATCTGTCCTCCACATGCTACTCACATTGTGTAGCTACTTCAAACTATTTCAAGTATTTATGAACAAAACAGAAACGAATAAGCATCTAGTGATCTGATGGGAGGAGGTAAACGAAGATACTAAGAGGAGTCTTGTAAACTACGTCAGGTTACTTGAGGCGATAAAACCAGAGAAGTAAACGTACCTTATGGCGGTGCCCTCCTAAAGAGAACTCTCCTTAGAAACAGAAGAAAAGAAAGACCCGTTTCCTCTTTGTGTCTCGGTTACATTTAGACATTTCACCAACATCAACCACAGTCTGAGTAAAGAGGTGTGAGTGTCACCAGCCTCCTGACGCCGCGAGACCAACTACGCGGAAGATCAAACCCTGCTTTGAGTTCAGGAAGAACTTCCATCAAAGGGGTCCGAATGGAAGTTCTTCCTGAACTCAAAGCTTTTACTTAAAATGTATTGTGAATAAGGGTGATTTAGAAATGTTAAAATGACGTTACGTAATTATAATTGATTGCATATATCATTTTTCTGAATAAACAAATTCATCAAATTAAATCAGCTGTTGTGATTTACTCAGATTTTCAGTAGCTTTTTAGCATAAGTTTTTATTAGTATTTGTTTTTATTTGATTTATTTGAGTATTTCATACATTCATTGTGAAATCCAAAGACGTAATGCTTTTCCTGTTTGAAACAAAAAAAGGACCTTAAAAAATCTATGTATCAATGTTTGAGTGTTTATTAGATGCATTTGGGTGCTTATTGTTCTGTTGAACTCATAACCAATATTTTTATATCTGACATGTTTGATTAGTTTGGTAAAATTTCGTAACTATTTTACATTGCCCAAAAACAAACAACCCTTCTACCGTGTAGTTTCGCCCTGTGGCCGCCAGAGGGCGGTAGATCTGCTCTATTTGCTGTGCTGTGGCTAGCTGCTTTTAGCTCCTGCTGCAGCTCCTTGATTTAATCGAGTTGAACACAGATAACTAAAATTGATTTATTGCGTTTTAGTAGTTTATATAAGTGAAGACGCTCTGGCTTTCCTGTAAATTGGACTAAACGCTGTATTGAACGCTGCAGTACCCACTTGTTTCCAGCAGAGGACAGAAAATCTTTACGCTCCACAACCAAATAAAACAACCAATCCCACCTCTTCTGGATCTGTTCACATGCTACAACGTTTTGGAAAGACTTTAGCAGATTTATTATCGGACAGCTCTGCAAGGACTTCGTTTTAAAATGGGAAAATGTTGTATTTTTTTTCGCAAGCAGAGAAAGGAAGATGTATACTTTGTTATAAATTTGTTAATTATTCTAGCTAAATTCTATCTCCACAAATGCAAGTATAGTAACCAAAAACCTAATTTCAAGCACTATTATAGTGACACTCTATCTTGCATAAAATTGATTAGTGGATCACTAAACAAAAAAAGCTTTAAAAACTATAACTATTTGCACCACCTGTAATTTATTTGGATGTGTGTAACATTTCTGTAGTGCCAAGGGCGTCAGTTTGTTTTCAGAATTGCTGGGGACAATAACCATACACTTGAGTGGGGTTTAAAAATTGCTGGGGACAATAAAGTAGGCTAGCACAGGGGTCGGCAATCCGCGGCTCTGGAGCCGCATGCGGCTCTTCCATCCATCTGATGCAACTCTCTGTGCTTGTAAAATAATAAATGGATATTTAAATAAAATGCTTTATATTTTACTGCATTAATTTTACACCTGTATGCCAATTCTAAATGTAGATTGTCTGCGTAAACCTGAACAGGTCCAACCCGGTCTGCGGTGGTTGACCGGTCACGCTTGTGCGTAATCATATAGGCACTTTATGAGCTGAAGAGGATGTGAGATTCTGGGCTTCTCCTCAGACGGCTCCTGGATGTGTCGCCACATTGGAGCCAGGAACAAGTACTATTCAGCCAAAGTTTCATAATCAGGGAACATTTTCTAAGTGACAAGTCTCTCTGAGAGACAGGGTTTGGAAAACACTCGCTTCAGTGGGAGGAATCTTCCCGCATGCGCACTGCATGGTTCTCTGCGTGGCTCTAGGGTTAATCAAGTTTAATTGATTCTCTTTGCAACAATCTTCACAGGAAGGCAAAACAGTTAAACGGCAGGTTACAGATATTTCCATTTGACTGTTTATTTTGACAGATGTACTCAAGGATGTTGCTTGGTTTGAAAAAATTACCCCGACGCACACGGATGCTCATGGATGAGCTGACATTTTAATCGTTAACGCACACGCGGAGGTAAAATATTCCCATCAGAACATCAGAGCTCTTTATACTGGACACTGTGTTCAGCGTGGCTCGGAGCGCCCCCGGTGGACAGTGAGCTGAAGATCTGGGGTTCCAGCGCAGCGCAGTGCAGAACCACGCGCATGCGATGATTTCCTCCCACTGAAGCGTTCAGGAAACCCGGTCTCTCTGAGGGATGTGTCACTTGGAAAATGTTCTTTTTATGATATTATGAAACTTTGGCTGAACAGCGCTTGTTCCCGTCTTCCGCATGAAGCGTAGAGACATTTGATCACGCACAAAGTTCATGTGGAGCAGAAGCGGTCAGGCCACGGCAGATGAAACGTTCCTAGTGAAACTGTTTAATTGTAACATTAATGTGTTACTGGACACGCTGGTCTGGTTGGTTAGACCAGTGTTTGAAGTGGAAAACACACTCACTCACTCACTCACTCACTCTCTCTCTCTCACACACACACACACACACACACACACACACACACACACACACACACACACACACACACACACACACACACACACACACACACACACACACACACACACACACACACACACACACACACACCAATTAAAATATAAAATAATGCTGATAGCGTGGACTAGAAGACAGGTGATGGTTTACGTATTTAAATGATGATCAGGCTGCTGTAAAATGTAATCTCCATCCACATCCAGACACAATTATCCTCTAGTCTTTCTCTAGTCGCTCTGCTCTTGTCTGGGCTGATCAGCTGATGGTGCGCGCGCGCCTAACTAGCGGCTGATGCACATTTTACGCATTTGGAGAGGTGGACTGGATGCTGTGCGTTTACTGGAAGATGGTCCACTTAACGCATGGGTGTAGACTACATATTAATGACAAATGAATGAAAATTAAATTGTGAGTTTTTACTTCATATTTTAGTAATAAAAATGACGGGGAACACATTTATGACGTCTTTTTAAACGAAATTTTCTAGCGCGACCTGCCTGCTTCACTTAAGTCACTGCTTATTAAGGTCCGTCCAAAATTACCGTGGGAAACGGGTGATAATGGTTCTTTGATGGGAACAGGGTGCCGACCCCTGGATAAGATCTGAGCTGGTAAAACAAAAATCCTCATCAGCAGGCGTTTTTGAAAGTGGGGGGGACACAGCTGCCAATCACAAATTTTGCCGGGGACATGTCCCCGGCGTCCCCGGTTAAAATGACGCCTATGTGTAGTGCACCCCCTGGCATATGTTTCATCTTCTTTGTTCAATTTTGTATGCAATTTGTTTGTATACTTATCACCTTGTTCAATAAAGTTTTGAAGAAAAAAAAGAAAAGAAAAAAAAACAAATCCCTTATAGTCAGATTATGTCTCCATCGGTCGTATCAAACAATAGATTATAAGTAATTTATTTAGACAAAAAACAAACAGTAAAAAATGCTATTCTAATCAATTACAGGTTACTTTTGCAGAAGTGTTCATTTTTAATTTAATTAATTTGAGTAGTTTATACTTTTATTGTGAAATATTAAAACATCAATGCTTTTCCTGTTTAAAACAAAACTGTAAATATATCATGTCTGTATAAATGCCTCTGTGTGTGTTTAATAGTTGGATATTTATTGGTCTTCAACTAATAACAAATAGTTTTATGTCTGACATGCTTTGAATTTCTTTCTATCCATGGTATCCATTTCTTTGAGTGTAAATAGTCAATACTGTCTTAGAGCCAAAAGATAAAGATTTAAAGATAAAAGTGTTGTGTTGTATTTTAGAGTTTGTGGGTGACAGTAGCTCAGATGGTCAGAGGGACCGGTGGTGCCTGTGTTCAGCAGCCTCGCCATTGTCAGCTGTGGCTACATTGTAGCTCATCATCACCAAGGTGTGAATGTGTGTGTGAATGGATGAATGATACACTGTAGTGTTAAGCGCTTTGGGGTCCTCTGGGTCTGAAAGGCGCTGTGTGGGTCATTTATCGTTTATTGTAATTATTGTTTATAATTTAGCATTAAATGACAACTAGATGTCTAAAAATAATATTTGGAAACTCAGCCGCGTGAACTACAAAAATCAACAAAAGTAAACAAAAACACGATATGAGGTGTGTTTATTGACAGCCTTGTTTACATGCTGGTTGAAAACCTTCTTTATCTCCTGAGATTAAAGCCATCAGGAAGGAAACCAAACAGTTTGGTGTCCAAAACGCTAGCTGTGATAACATGGAAAACAGCCACAGAACATCCTCTTGAGTGGGTTGTTTTTGTCTGAAGTCGAGGCATTCTCCAGCTGAGTGGTTCCATCTTGAACAATCACCTCGGCCTTCTGGACGCTTTGCTCGATGTTCTCGACCGCCGCTCCCTGCTCCTCCACGAGCACGGCCACATCCAGGAAAAGCTCCTGGATGCTCTGGATCCTGGTCTCCAGCTCCAGCAGCTCCTGCTGTCTGCTCTGTAGCTGCATGAGGGCAGAGTGAATGGTTTTCCCTTCCATGTGGACGCTGAACACACATAGCTCCTCTCCCTCCATCATCTCCTCCAGCTCCTCCTCACTGATCTCCCTTCCCACCACCTCCATCTGCCTCTTGATGTGGCGTTTGCATGCCTCCCTGTGGCTCATCTCTGTGTCGTTGTAGCTGAACATCACCTCCCGCAGAGCGTTGCTGAGACAGTGGTACTGTGTCCGGGCTATACGTACTGCGGGGTCAGAGGGGCCACGCCGGGCCTCCAGCTCTCCTCGGAGGTCATTCATCAAGTGCAGCTGCTGCAACACAGCTTCTCCTCTGCGTTTAATATCCGCCCCGATTGTGTTAGAGTCCCGTTTTGTCACGCTGGGAAATGAGGTTCTGTTTATTGTCTGGTAGTTCACATCCTGGAGCTCGCTGATGTCATTCTGGATTTGCTGAATTTCCAGGCGGATTTGCTGGGCCTCATTCAGAACTCCATCCAGGTCCTGGTCGGGATCAGCTGGCTCTAGTTCTGATAAACTGTTCAGTTCCACGGTGCTGAAGCCTTCAGAGTCGGTCTTCACGCGATGCAGGTGCTGCAGCCTGTCTCTCATATCTGGAGAGAACATGAGGAATGTCAGGTTCGGATGCAGGAATTAAAATATGTCACTTATGGAGATTTAAAAGTAATAAAATCGTGTCTTCAGTAAAAAAAAGGCTCAACTTTTTATTTCTTTTAGATGATGTTTTTAATGCACCAATCCTTGCTGAGCTGTCTTTTATTCTTATTTAAAGGCCCACATAAACTTCAAAACCAAGGAAAACTTGCAGTTTAATGAAGGCTGATAGAAAAGCTCTGAAAGGCCTTTTGCTGTTTGTATCTTTGCAGGCTGGGCAGCTGGACACGCCTCCTCCTAACGAACTCACCGAGACTTCTGCTCTAACAAATACATGAAAAGTAAATGGATTCACATAAAAATGCTTAAAATCACAATGACACCTAAGCCCTTTAAGGAGCATTGTTGTTTCCTTTTGATTATGTTCAACACCTGAGAAGGCTTCACACAGGTCTGAGATCAGTGAAGCATGCAGCTTTGTGAAAACATGGAAAGCTTTTCTAATCCGTGTCTGAGTGAGAACTGTAAGAACATTTTCAGAGTTTCCAGTATCAGGCCATCTTAGATGAATGTGCTTGATCTGCTAGGATATTTCTAAAAACTCACCAAACAAGTTCCAGAGCGGACAAATTAAGTGCATACTGAAGGTAGCTGAGCTCCACAGGAAGTGGTCGTACTAGTTATTAAAGGTTTAAACCTGAAACTCGGAGGAAACCAGCAGCTTTAAGAAATACAGACATGACATAAAAGATCGGGCCATCTAAGATGACTTTTATGGTAAATAATATACATTTTAAAATAATTTATACGTGTTTTCTCCAGTATCACAAGTCGCCGTCATATGTGCTGTCTCTAAAAATAAGATGGAGTCATAAATATGAAGACAAAGTCCTTCTCCCTTACTTGTACAGTTGATGGTTTATCTGTCTGTCCTGCAGATGCTGGATCTCTCTGGATAATCCTGAATACATCAGTTAAATCCAACAGGTGGAGTGACAGCAGGAGCATCAGAGGATGAGTTATGAATAATGGTCCCCATCATGATGCACCTGAGAGGAGTGGCTTCTAGAAACTCAACTTTCTACATTCCTCTTGAGAAACATGAAGACACGAGGCGATGAGCAGAAAGATAAACTTTCTGAGATTTATTAGAAAGAAGACCAAGAATCAGATTGTTTACATTGTTGTGTTCTCAGGTCAGCTGTAACACAACAGGTGGATGGATGGATGGATGTTTTATTGGATGCATGTTGGATGGATGCTGGATGGATAGACCGACTGATGAATGGATGTATAGATGGATGGATGGATGAAGGACAGAAGGATGGACAGACAAAGGATGATGGATAATAGATGGATGAATTGATGAATGGTTGTTTTACTGGATGAATGGATGGATGGATGATGGACAGGTGGACAGCCAGACAATGGATGGATGGATGGATAGATAGATTGATGGATAAATGTTGGGTGGATGGATGGCTGGATGGATAGATAGGTGGACAGGCAGGTGGATGGATGTTTTATTGGATGAATGTTGGTTGGATGGATGGATGAATGAATGAAGGACAGATGGACAGATGGATGGACAGACGATGGATGATGGATAGATGGGTGAATCGATGTATGGCTACTTCTTTGGATGAATGGTGGGTAGATGGATAGATGGGTGGATGGATGTTTTTTTTTGGATGAATGTTGGTTGGAAGTAGTGGAACTGGTAGTAGGTTCTGAAGTAGAACTAGTAGTAGGTTCTGAAGTAAAACTAGTAGTAGGTTCTGAAGTAGTAGAACGAGTTGATAAGAGATCCCCAAATCCACTCATCCTTCCAGATAAGCTCAGCTCGACAGACTGACAAAGGGGTTCTAGCGCCACATGATGGCGCCAAACCACCATAAACTGAACCACGACCACGACCTTGACTAGAGTGTATTTCAAAACAAATCTTTATCTATTTAACAATAAACATTTAGTTAACAACAGAGATAAATTTGTGAAGCTAGCAGTAATGTGTATCAGAAAACAACAATAATGAACCCAAGGGCGTAGGAACGAGTTTAATATGGGGGGGGCACGTTTTGGAAATCTAACAAATCTGTTGTAGGTCAATATATAGGTCAACTTCACTGAAAAAAATACATTTAATGATTATTTCTGATTCGAACGTGTCACTGAGTGTTTCATGCAGGCTGAACATGAACATAGTCTCCTACAGTTATCTCCTGCATTAGCTTCTGATAGAAAATCTGATAGACGGTGAAACTCTAGGATTAGAAAAGTCTGATAGATGTGACTCAGGGCGTAAGGCAAAGCCCAGAAAGATAAGAAAATAATTTTTATAGCCCAGTTCACTAACATTCTGGGGTTTTTTTGATCGGGGACCCATGAGCCAGCCAGAAGGGGAGGAGACTTAGGCTCCCCATTAGCCAGATCCAGGTGATTACCGGCCAAAGTGGACGTTTTAATTATAAAAAAGCTGTTTATGTGTCAGTACTGTTTTATTTTTATTTAATAGTATGAATGTAGGATATATTATCTTATACATATGGGTAGAGATGTGTAAACAGATTTAATACAAGACTAAAGCTGTGAATATTCAGTCTGAATCGATCTGACTCTCATCAGAATATTTTAAACTACATCAGCCAACAATGCTGACCAACAATCAGAAAAATCTGTTTGCTTCTGACAGAATGAAAAAAGAAATAATTCACTTACAACAACAGCTGGACCTACATTAATTTTCAGACAGACAAAAGAAAAAACAGTGGCCACAATTGCAGTCTAAGTGCACCAGAAAGCAGAATTTAACACTTATTTTTCTAATATTTCTAAGGAAGCGTGTACAGAATGTAATTTATTCTTAAACCGTACTACCCAGCCCTACTTGTAATGGGATTACATATATTTAACTGTGTTCACTTATTATTACATTGAAATCTTCCTCTCATTAGCCACCTAAAACCATCTCATTCTTCACTGTAGCACCTACCTGCACCTCAGCAGGTCTGGTGCTCCCTGTCTCACCCTCAGCAGGTCTGGCTCTCCCTGTCTCACCCTCAGCAGGTCTGGCTCTCCCTGTCTCACTCTCAGCAGGTCTGGCTCTCCCTGTCTCACCCTCAGCTGGTCTGGCTCTCCCTGTCTCACCCTCAGCTGGTCTGGCTCTCCCTGTCTCACCCTCAGCTGGTCTGGCTCTCCCTGTCTCACCCTCAGCAGGTCTGGCTCTCCCTGTCTCACTCTCAGCAGGTCTGGTTCCTCCTGTCTCACCCTCAACTGGTTCCTGCTGAACCAGTGACATAAAATACAAATATAGATTTTAACTTACCGAAAAAAATGAAGTGGAGACTCCTTGGACGCTTTGTTAGTGCAATTAATACCACAGCAAGTCATTTTGTCCAACAATTGCACCAATAATATCCAAAACAGAATTCACAAGCACAGAGACTCAAAATCCCGTAACAGTTTCCAGGAGGGACCGAGGCTGTACTGAGGCCTTTCCACAGAACTAGCTCTGTGGTCACGTGGGTCAGATGCTCATTAATTATACAGAATTTTAGGCTTTCAATACACTTAAACAGAAGAGTGAGAAAAAAATTCACCCCCCTCAGAGTTGTCATGAGTATAAACTAGATAATTTAGACAAAAAACATGTTCTGGAACCAGGCTGTAAACATGTTTATTTCTGCTGTGAAATTGGCATTTTTAACCTGGGAGTCAATGAGGATTTGCTCGCTTCTGGCACCAGCCCCCAGCAGATGAGGGTGGAACTGCAATTTTTCTTACTTCCGGGATGGGACCATTTTTAGAGCGGCATTGTGGGGACTTGGTTAAAACACAGACAATTAAAAATGTAACTCCCAAAACAAAAAATAACATCTCCAATTACACACAGACATTACCTGATGAGCTTGTGATTGTGCACCATATACTTTGGGCAAGGAACTGTGTACGTCCTTCTCACTACACATCCCAGATGTGTCATTCGAGCAAGTACACCCGCACTGTCCACACGATGCATGGATGCATACAGTCGGTCCCACTGTACTCTATGTCTCTGGGCAAGTAGAGCACCTCGGACTACCCTGTACACAGCATCTGGCATGTTGCTCTTAATTACTGTGATAAAATAATCTAGTTCCTCATCACTGCATTTACTGTATGTGGCAGATACAAATATACAAATAAATATATTATTTTCAGACATCCGTCTAAATAGAGTTGCTCTGGATACACCAAGGAGTTTGGTAATGACACTTGTTGGCAGACCCATTTCCACAAGGTGTTCGAGAGCCTCTCTCGACACCGCCAATCGTTGACGGCCACGAGAACCTCTTTCAACGTGTACTGTTATTAATGTCTTTTGATTATCTCTTTCCTGCTGGATAATAGTATTCAGATCGGAAAGAGCAGAAAGTATATCCTCTCCCTCCCACATCAACAATGTCACCTAGAGCACCTAATAAAACTAAATAATGGTGACAAGCAAACTATAGCCCGTCCCCATCAACAGGTTGCCTCTCCAAGTCGATCGTAAAACCTCTGAAGGATGTCACGCCTCAATGATTCCTAGAGGGAAAAAAAACCAAAAACAGAACAAACATGAATTGGATAACTGTTGGGTAATAGAAATAAAATAAAAACTTCCAAATATCTTATGGCACTTTTATTTTTTAACACTCCAGCTATGATAGTTTTAATAAAAAAAACATTTTTAAATAAGACCAACTGTAGATTCAAAGGTACATGAAATGATGAAGCAGTATTTCTGTTTATTATGTGCCAGAGCTCATTGGCCAAAATTTAAAGATGTATTTTATTTAAAAAAATAATAATATTTCTTTAACTATCGCACACCACCAGAAAATCTAACATTTATGCACCGGCTCAGCCAGTGTCTGTCTCCTTATTACTGCACGCACAGCCTAAAGCAGGGGTGTCAAACTCAAATTCACAATGGGACAAAATTAAAAACTGGGACAAAATTGCGGGCCAAACTCAATATTTGTTGAAAAGTTTATTTACAGATGTCTTGTTATTCAACTGGAAAGAAACTTATTTTTGCATCTGAACACAGAATCTGATATGACCAAATTACACACGAGCAAGTACATTTTAAATAAAACACATCACTCGTTACTTATGTCTCAATTTTTATTTACTCTTTTTACTCCTTACAATGTGTACATATTCAGTATTTAGATTGTTTTACCTTTTGGATATTTTAAGTTTGTCTGTTTTATGTTTTCTTTTAGTTTACTCTTTATTATTATGTTTTACTCTCCTGTTTGGCTTCTGTAATGAACGTTA